AGATTCGATGCCAATTGTTACCTGCATATCACAAACAAGATGGACTCTCACGATGTGGCTTTTGGACGAACAGAAGAAACTGGGGACAGAGCTCTGATGGAGGTTTTGTCGAAGGTTCCACCCAGAGCTATGGTCATTGGGGTTGAAACGGACGCTTTGTTCTTGCCCGAGCAGCAAGAAAGGCTCGCAGCATGCTTGCCTGACGCGTCGCTCTCTGTGCTCAAGTCGTCAGATGGTCATGACGGCTTTCTACTCGAGTTCGACCAGCTTGATGACTTGATCCAGACTAAGTTGAGGGCAGAGCTACCGCACTTGTACGCCGCAGTGGGGCAGGTAGAGGACGGCCTCAAACAAGAGAGTTTCGATCCACTGGCAGTGAGCTTGACTGGGGAAGTTGACGATTGGTAGATGATCAAACGGGGTGTCATTGCTGCCTAGGTCTTTCATCGCAGCGCAGAAACAGGCAATACCAGCGAATGACACAGCTCGGGAGTCCATGCGGATACTGCCTCGCATTGGTTGATTTCTGTGGAAACTTTTCAGAGACATAACATCTATCACACTATTCCTAATTCGATCGCCGTTGTCAAGAGTGGAAGTATGTATAATCGAAATTCCGAAGAAAGGCATCGTTGGCGCGGTTCAAATCCCGACAAGTCCGACGACCGACGGGATAAAACATTGGGGGCATTGGACGCCATCGCCGCCGCCGCAGAATTCGCGTGTTGACTGAAACAAGCCATTCTTTTCTGAACGACCCATAGGCGGAATCGGGTAGTCTGGTCCAATGCTGCGCTCAATCTGCGCCCGGCGGATGCCCAACCTCCGCATCATGGAGGGTATCTTCACCAAAAGACAACCTATGTCATCGGCACTGAGCCGAATCTCGCTTACGGCGATTGACACTCTGTGTCGCACCTGTCAACGGCCGTGCATGAGAATGCAACCGTATTACGACAGATGTCGCAGTGTTATCTTGATCGCTTCGCTGAGCCTGGAACGAGCTGTCTCTGCACCTGGCAACAGTGCTGTAGATTCGGAACCCAGCCTGAAGAACCTTGGAGACACCTGCAAGTTCCCCTGTCAATCCTCGGGACGAACCGAGAATATTGGAGACAGGGAAATTGGGCACCATGCTGTGATTGGCAGAGTTTCGGACTTTGAGCGTTGACGGGCGAGATATTTGCGCCAGCAAATCAAAGCTTCCGCACTGGACATGGCGGCCGCATGATACCATGGCCAACCCCGATTTCACACGCCGTCATCCCCACTACACTTTGATGTTGCGTCAGATTCGATGGAGCCCTTTTCCAAAATAGTTGAAAGTGGAAAACCTATTGTTTTGCGCATTCGCCGAGTGGGAGACCCGGACCGTTCTGAATGGGGGCTTTTGTCTTCAAATCCCGAAGCCGGGATTTGGCCCACGGCCAGCGCGCAGTCGCCGGCAACCAACTCCACAACTCGGAGACGACCATCGCCAATGACAGCTGTCAGTCGGCCAAAGGGTGCGATGGGAATGCCGGGAGAAGCAGAGCCTGCCGTCCGCCGTGGACATTGACCGAAGGCACGCCTTTCTTTGACGCCTTCAACAACAGACGACGAGTCTTGCTGTTGACCATGGCCGTGGTGGACGTTCGTTGAAAGTTTGCGACTGATAAGTTTCCCGGGGAAAAGTCGACGATATATGCTCTCCCGGCCAAGTTACTGCGTGCCGTCAAGTTCGAGCGGAGGCCCACCGGAAAACTCCCTCATCCAGCTGCCCGCCCTCCCAAGCAAGATCACCACTCCCCAGTCCCCGCCCAGCATGGCAACCGGCAGAGAAAACAGGCCATGGCTGGTGCAGAAGTACGGCGGAACCAGTCTTGGAAAACTTCTCGAGTCGATCTGCAGCAAAATCATCCCATCCTACCTGCAAGACCATAACCTGGTGGTCGTCTGCTCGGCCCTCTCCGGTTCCACAAAGGCCAGTGGCACCACGAGCCTCCTGCTCGAGTGCATTTCCCACGCCGAGGCCGGACTGCCTGCCCAAGCCCAGCTCAACAAGGCCCTTGAACTCGTCCGCGATAACCATGTCAGACTACTCGAGAAGCACCTCGTCAACTCAAATGGTACGAGGAGTGATCTTTGCAGCGACATATTTGATACCACCAAGAATGTCATCATCAAGGAGTGCGAAAGCTTGAGAGGCTTCCTTCTCGCAGCTCAAATTATCGGGGAATTGTCGCCTCGGGCGAGGGACCGGGTGATAGCACTGGGAGAGAAGCTCGCTTGCAGAGTCGTTGCTGCATACCTAAGCAGCAAAGGCGTCCCGGCCGAGCCGGTCATTCTCGAGGACGTCGTCGAGTCAGTGTTTGGCGGAAGCATCTTTGAGCAAAAGACCGCGCTCGACAATCTCGGTCCTAGGTTCTACCACCTTCTTGGCGACGAGATTACCAGGAGAATACGAGAGTGCGGCGACCATGTGCCAATAGTCACTGGCTTCTTTGGCATCATGCCGGACTCCCTGCTGAAGAACTTGGGAAGGGGGTACTCTGATCTATGTGCTGCGATGTGTGCAGTCGGTACCAAGGCGACGGAGCTTCAGATCTGGAAGGAGGTTGATGGCATCTTCACAGCAGACCCAAGGAAGGTTCCTTCGGCGAGACTACTGTCGACAGTCACGGCAGAAGAGGCGACGGAGCTGACGTACTACGGTAGCGAGGTTATACATCCGCTGACCATGGACCAAATAAGATGCGCCAATATACCCCTAAGACTAAAGAATGTCTTCAATCCCACGGGCGCGGGAACGATCATCTATCCCTCACGAACACCTTCGCCGCCTCTTACACCCCCAACACCGACGGACGAAAAGGTGGATGTCAAGGTCCCGCTTCCTTCGATCGACTTCATGCTGGGCAACGGATATCACGGTGACCAGAAGGAGAGGCGTCGACCAACAGCTGTGACCGTCAAGGACTCAATACTGCTTGTCAACGTCGTTTGCAATAGGAACACGAAGTCCCAAGGGTTCTTGTCTGGTGTGTTTGATAGACTAGAAGAGGCTGGAATCAAGACTGATCTCGTCACAACGAGCGAGCGCAACGTCAGCCTTGCATTCCAGCACTCGGAGGAAGGGTCCTGTCAACATCAGAGGCTGAGGGTTGAGCTCGAGAAGTTTGGAAAGGTAAGAAAGGCCGCGACCCATCCAAAGACCTTTTTGCTAACAAACTACTTGCTTGCAGGTCGTTATCACAGAGAACATGTCCATAGTCACCGTCATCGGCCACAAGATGAGAAACATGGTTGGAATATCGGCGGAAATCATGTCTGCCTTGGCCGCAGCGAAGATCAACATCTTTCTCGTCAGCCAGGGGGCGAGCGAGATCAACGTTTCGTACGTCAACCCCACGCGATGCACCACAGCACCAAATTACATTCCTCCAGAGATCCCCGTCCCTTTCCTGTTGCCTTCCGCGAAGTCCTCCAGCTAACAGAATATGCTAGACTCGTCGTCAGAGCCGAAGACTCCGTGCTGGCAATGAATGTGATCCATAGCAAAGTCCTCCGCATCCCCACACATTGGGAGCAGGAGAACAACTTCATCAAAGGTGCGGCCGAGCCTCCTCGTCCGAGACATGCCACTGCCGAGTCCTACCGACCGCTTACACCTCCCAGGTCCGTGGCTGTACTGATGCGCCGGCCTGGGCGATCGTTTCGCATCGCGCCGGGCGAGGGAGAGCAGGCTGCGTACGAGTACATTGTCAGGCGGTGGTTAAAAAAGCGGAGAGACGTCAGGGTGGTGTCGGGGAGGGAGAATGGGGCGGGGCGCAGGTGAGGCGATGCCCTCTGCTGTGTGCCGCGGGAGGATGTTTTTGGTTGAATCTGCATAATACCATATATCATTGTCTTTACATAGCATTCAGACTGGAAGTACAGCATGGGACAGCATCGTCCGGCATATGGTCGGAGCTTCTGCAGCTTTTTTGTTCTCGACTCGGTCATTTGGCTCAACTCATACAATTTATACCAATCTTCATATCGTATGCAATTTTATCGCACCCCACTGGCCGAGCAACCGCTCGGAGATTCAACTACATGCAATATCACCACGAAGGGTATTGGCGAGATTAACATAGCTTTTCTGCCCGAGACCAGTTTCGAACGGCGTGGCACCTCATAGTGCAGCTTGACCAGGATGGGGGCACCGACATAAAGCCACTTTCTCATGGCTAGTGTTCTGAGAACAAAGAAAGTTGACTAGGGAGGCTGAAACAGGCGGAAGTACTAGCAACGGCGACACCAATACATCAACCAGACAACTGGTCTTTGTCCCTGCCGATCCCCTTGCAGTTGCGGTACGAATGCGTCTCTCTCCAGGCCCCAGGATCTCAAGATGGGTTCGGGGATATTCAGACGAAGGCTTTGCCAAGGATTACAAACACTTAAGCTTGTCGCGAAGAGTGATGCATTTCCCCGGATTCGCGGGGCTATTGCTAAGGAAGTCGGCTGGTCTAACGCTGGTCAGGACATGGCTTTCGGCAGTGTAGCCTGGGGATATCTTGCAAGGGAGCTGAGATGTATCAATCGAGTTTTCTTTCATCTGGAGAAGATGCTCGAAAGGTCTGGTTTACTCTGACGTTGATGAAAGTTGGCAAGAAGACGTTTTCAAGGTGAACTTCTATCAAAGAAAGACAGCGAATGGTTGATGGAATACTCTTTCTGGGCTCTATGTGAAAGTTGATATTGCGAAAGAACAGTGGCAAAGACTTCCCTGGCAACAATAGCATTGTCCTGGAATAGTCTTCGTCCAAAGCACCATTCACCTTGGCAACCTCACCCACGACCTACAAATACCTATGAGCCCTCCCCGCTTCCCACTGAATCTGCATCATATCACACTCCCTTCACATTGCAGCTGGTCTCAACAAATTCGATTTCGCGTACATATCTCCAACTATTCACTCACACTCCCTTCATACCTAGATAGAACACACAACACACACAGTCATTTCATAACCATGTCTTCTCTCCTACTCACCTCCCTCCTCCTCTCCCTCACATCCGCCCACGTCGTCCTCGAGAACCCGAAACCCTTCAAATTCGTCGCCGACGGCCCCACCAACCCCATCTCCGCCACCGGCGACGACTTCCCCTGCAAAGTGCCCCCGGGCGCCTCCTACATCGTCGACGGCGAACGCACCGTCTACGCCGTCGGCGAGCCGCAGACCGCCACCTTCGCCGGGCAGGCCGTCCACGGCGGCGGCAGCTGCCAGTTCGCGCTCTCCACCGACACGGAGCCGACCAAGCAGTCCACGTGGATGGTCATCCACTCCATCGAGGGCGGCTGCCCCGCGCGCAACCAGAAGGGCAACCTCGAAGGGCCTAATAAAGATGAGTACACCTTTTCCATTCCGCAGGGCATCGCGCCGGGGGAGTATACTTTTGCGTGGACGTGGCAGGCGCGCGTTGGCGGGCAGCCCGAGTATTACATGAATTGCGCGCCGATCACGGTCGTGGCGTCGAAGAAGAGGCGCGGGCATTCCCGCGGGGGGTGGGGTGTGTCGAAGAGGCAGACGCAGCAGTTTCCGGAGCTGTTCATGGCGAATATGGGTGAGGTCTCGGGCGGGTGCACGACTAACGAGGCGTTGACGGCGCAGGTGCCGATTAAGTACCCCAACGCGGGGACGAGTGTTGATCATCCTGAGGGCGAGGCTAATTTGTTCGTGCAGCCGTGTGATGGGAACCCCCGGGCCGGCGCCGGTTCCGGGGGTGGCGGGTCAGTCGAGCCGCCTGCCGCTTCCGCTTCCTCCGCCGCGCCCGGGGAGGAGCAGCCCGAGCCGACTACGTCTTACATGGACACTCCCTCAGCCGAGCCGACATCATCCGCGATCGACACGCCCGCCGTCACCTCGCCGCCGGTGGTGAGCACCACCGCCCCCGAGCGCCCGGCTCCGTCTTGCGCTGTGCCTGCGGTTTCTACTGTTGAGGTGACAGTAACCGTCACCGCTACGATTACGGCGCAGGTCCCCGTGGCGTCGGGGGCGCCGGACGCGCCGGCGGATGAGGATGATGATGACGATGAGGGTGAGGCGTGCACGGAGGGGTATCTTACGTGCCTGGAGGACGAGACGCACTTTGCGACGTGTACCGGGGGTGAGCTGACGGCGCCGCAGCCCATTGCGCCTGGGTTCAAGTGTGCGGCTGGGGAGGGGGAGGGGTTGGATATTTCGCCTATCGGGGGGTATTGAGATGCTGGTTCATCGATGACGGTCTTTACAGCGTGAAAAGTGAGAGGAAGGGGGAATACAGTCTTTACATAACATCAAAAGTCAGAAGAAGGGAGGAAGCGTACAGTCTCTACAGCACATGAAAAGTCAGGAGAAAGAAGACATCTTACAGTCTTTACAGGAATTAGTGACCGGAGAAAAGGTATCACGAGACGATTCTGAAATGAAGCAAAATTTCAACTATGCGCATAATGGAAATTTCCCTTGATATTCGTTCAGCTAGCTGCGGGAATGGGAACCGGTCCGACAGGTCCAACGCTTGCTCCGACGTTGGCCTGATGCATCGTCCTCGGTCCCAGCTTCGAGTGATAGTCTATCGCAGTATGGAACATCTGAAAGTTGGCCCACGTGATGATGTCCCCTTCCTCCGCCTTGGGGAGCAAGATGTACTCCGGCTTCAGCACCCGTTCCTGAATCACCTTCAGCCACTCTCGGATCTTCACCACATCATCCACTACAGTCGGCTTCTCATCCACACTCGACCGTAGGAACATACGCCGTACGCAAATCCCATGTACCATAAACGCCTTCTCTCCAGTGACGGGGTTCACCCACACCATCGGATACCGCTTCACAGCCTGCTCATCCCACTCCCCCAGCTCCTCGACCCTCATCTCCTTCCCCTGACTCACCAGCCCCAGCCCATTCGCATTTCCCTTGCAGTTCCCCATCCACTGGTACGGGTGCGGCGCATACTCCACCCACGAGTGATCCGCGACCTTCTTCTCGTCGTCGCTCATCAGCTCGTACATCTGCACATTGCTGAAAAACGCAGTCAGCCCCGGCTCGACGGTCATGCTGCGCCCGCTGCCGTCGTCCCAGTGGACCGTGACCTCGGGCCCCGTCGGGCGCGTGATGCACCGCAGCGTCGTGAACCACGCGGGCTCGCGGTCGTAGAGCGCGGCGTCGATGTGCCAGCGCTGGAAGCGCGTGTGGCCCGCCTCGAAGTCTGCTTCTGAGAGGGGCAGGGCGTGGAAGTCGTGCGAGGGAGTGCGGGTGAGGGTCTTGTTGAGGAGGCCGTAGTGGTTATCGCCCTGGAAGCCTTTGCCGATTACGCGGACGTTTTCTGCGCCGGGGATGGCGAGGACTTCGCGGCCTCTCTTATTGCACGGTGAGTTTAGGTACTGGTGTCGGGAGATGGGAGAAGGAGGGCTTACGGAGAGGAGGCCGCCTTTTTCGTTGAAGGTCTTCATGTCGCCGTGGCCGTGGACGAGCGGCGCGTCCGGGTCGAGTCTGGTGACGAGGTCCCACTGCTTGATGGGGTGGATGTGCTTCTGCCCCTTGACGACGAGGACTTTGTGTGTCCAGATGGCGTCGTGCAAGGCTTTGACGTCGGCATCTTGCGGGTGGTGTAAGTGGCTTGTGATGAGAGACAACATATATGAGACTTACCGCTGATGTCATCCAAATCGAGTCCGGTGACGACGGCTCCGAAATTGTGTTTGTCCTTCGGCGTCTTCTCCATCTCCGTGAGAGTGAAGGTGGGACTCGCAGTGAGTATTCCTGGAGACATCTTTTCACGCTTTGCAGAGCAGATACAAGTGATTCAGAAAAGCTGGTGAGATAGTGCTTAATCACGGATTTGTACTTCCCAATTAGATACTCACAGTCTTGCAAACAGTCTGAGCAGGGCCTCATCTGATATATCTGAGGCATACCATGAAAGCCTGTAAAGCGGTATAATTGTCCCGTTCCGAGAGTATCTACCATGCCCAAACTCCCAGTGCACGGCTGCACGTCTGACCTCTCGACTTACACTCAGTCTGCGAATGCTATCGTCCAATGACAGAAAGTCTGTAGGAGTTTGATAAGCTCGGCCGAGGCTTATCGTGCCGTCTGACTGCAAACCCTTGCCACCTCGGCCGAGGTTGGTGATCCATGCGGGGCAACGCTGCGATAACTGGAGTTGCATCGGTGTGGGGGAAGGTCCATGTTATTCCCGGCAAGCAACCAGATCCAGGCTTTGTTCAGTCACGGCCACAATACTAGGAGCAGTCGAGGGAAAGACTCTAGAGATGATAATTTCGAAGACGAAGGACATTGGCTAGGCCCACAAGAGATATCAAAATGCAGGTGGACAGCTTTGAGGTTGGGAGCTTCTCAATGTACCTAACGTGAGCTGTTCGTCACCATAGAGCAAGTCGTCAACTTATCGGACGCCATATGCAATGGATCCGACGATTTAGATTTCAGCTTAGTCTCCATGTGTGAGACTTTGACCTCAGTTAGTTGCAAAGTCGCAAGCGTGATTATGGACTCAATTTCGCGGCGCGGTCAAAGGGCCTGTTGTTCAATTCGACTGATGTGTAAAGTTAACACGAGGCTCCACCGCAGGATATCGGTCTCGCTGCTGCCTCAAGAGGCCTTGCGCTGGGCAATCCCTGTCCCTGTTCCTCCGCCTGCTTCATCGCAGCCAACTTGTCCTGCGCCGCCTTATACATCCGGTTCATCGCGTTCCGATTGAACTCCTCCCCCGTGACCACAGGATACTTCCCCTTCGGACCCTGAATGATCGCATCTTTGCAAGGCTGGTTGAAGAACGCAATGCTAAACCTCTCGCCGTAAAAGTCTCCCTCCTCACAAGGTGCCTTGACACGATGGTACGTGCTCTTGAAACGGTCGTCGCTCCAGCTCATGAGCAGATCTCCGATGTTGCACACGATGACCCCAGGCTCGAGATCGACCTTGGTCCATTCGTCGCCGAGAGCGTGCTCCGTGACGGCCTCGCGGCCGGGGCAGATCTCGAGACCGGAATAGCCCGGCTTCTGGAAGAGGAGCGTGAGGAAGCCCCAATCAGCGTGGGCGCCGGCCCGGTGATACACCTTGCCGTCGTTCACTTTTGGTGTCTCGTAGTAATGGAGCATACGCAGCGTTGATTGCGAGTTCGGGCGCGTCACATCGTGCCAGTTGATGAAGTACTTGTCCTCAAACCCCAGTCCACGAGCGAGGCATATCATCAGCTTCTCCGAGATATCCTGCACCCTGTGCATGAACTCCAGAGTCTTGGCTTGGAATCCGAGGAGAGTGCCGTCGTCAAGCCAAAGGCCTTTCATGTTCTCGCCAAACTGGATTTGGTACGACTCCTTCTGGTCTGCCGCGCCCGTGGAGGGCCGGACTTGCGACAACTTCTCCCATCCGACATTTTGTGGGTTCCAGGGCACCGTGGCCTTGGTCTCATCCGGGAGGTGGAAGAACGACTCCGCGGTGGACAGCATGTCCTGGATGTCGGAGTCGGTCAGGCCGTGGTCCTTGATGGCGAAGAAACCGACATTTTCGGCGGCCGAGCACAACTGGGCTGTGATTTCATCGACGCGGTTGTCGAAGTCGTGTAGGGAAATCTGATGGATGTCATTGACACGTTCTCGAATGGCTGGGAGTCTGGATTTACCTTTGAGATCTCGCGATCGACGTACCTGGTTTGTTTCTCCATGACAAGTCGCTTTCCGGGAACTCGTGAATCGATGGTGTGCGTGTCCGAGGGATTAAAGCAATGAATCCGGTCCGAAGATTCAAATTACCCGAGAAAAGCCAGCTGCATGAAGCGCCCGTTGTCTCAAAACTGTCAATTATGTAGATAGATGTTGTATTCAGGTATTCAAACACCCTGCCGTCAGCGTCGGCGCTGACGTCCGATAAGGTTTACCCCTCTCCAATCTCAGTTCCCGATCTTATCACAGCCACTGATGTTTTCGGCCGAGCTGGCCGGGACCGCTTGCAGAACACGTAATACAGCAAAAGTTGGACATGTAGTTGCCTCTCTGTGAGCACGTGAGATTTTGGGGAGCGGTAGTACACAAAATTGGCTCCCTGCCATGATTGCATACCATGGCAGACGTCGCCGACCGGTTTTCAAAGGACGATGTTGGGGGCTTACGGTCATTTGTAGTGACGAAGTCTAAGATGCAGGCAAAACAGAAATTTGGATCAATTCTGGTCTATTGCGAAACTACAACAATTCTTCCTCATTAGAATACTTTTAGGCAGTCGGGTGGTCGCTTGCCGCCACATTGCACTGATGCATCACACGAGGGCCATAAGACTTGGGGAATTCGGTCTGAAATACGTCAGTTTCTGATTTTGTTTGGGTTTCAATCACTCAAAGCCCTTACAATGCTATGCCAAAGGGCTCGATTGTACCATAGAATAACGTCTTGCTCCTGGTGTGGGTGGGCGTAGATGTTCTCCGGTTGAAGAGCTGGCTTCATGATCCTGTGCGTAGTCAGTTGTGCTCAGGTTTAATTGGAGTCGCTGGCAGACTCACTTGTCCATAAATTCCCTGACCTCTGTTAAGTCATCCAGAATCGTCTCCTTGCCATCGGGACTATCTTTCAAGTGCAACTTGAAAGCACCCTGCCCATGGACCTGGAGCGACTTCTCGCCCGTTTTGGGGTTCGTCCAAACCATAGGATAAATACAAACCTTCTCCTTGTTCCACTTCGGGAGCTGGCCCAGCGGCTTCTCAAGGCCCTCCGTCTCGATTAGGTGCCCGAGACGTGTGCTGTGAGCGGCTGACATCCAGACGAATGCATGAGGGGCGTACTCGATTCGACTGTTCATGACAATCTTGCGAGTCTCCTCGTCGAGAAGAGCCAGGGCTCTGCTGCCAGCCACCATGGCCGTAGCGCCGGGAGCCATTTTCATCTCAGTCCCGCTGCCATCCTCCCACCGAACAGTGACATCCGGGCCTTTAGGCGTCCGGACCGCTAGTAGGCAGCCTACTCGAGGCGGGGGAATCGCATAGAGAGCCCCGTCAAAATGCCACTGATAGAATCGAGACGCGCCAGCTTCGCGTTCATCTGCAGGGATATGCGGCGGAAGGTGAAACTCTTCATGGTCTATCCCCTGGACCTCAAAGCCAGGAGGAAAGCCATAGTGATTGTCTGGCAACGACCCGCGTCCAAGGATATGGACTTGAGGTTGGTCGGGAATCGCGGGGCGTTTCGGGATGCCGAAGAAGTCAACGCCGTTGTGGTGGACGAGAAAGGGATCTTTGCCGTGCGCAAAACCTCCAGTCTTCTCATCCGGATCAAAACTGAGCCATGTGTTAACGGGTTGAAGAGGAAATGATCTAGCGGTTCGCATACTTGGAAGTCAATTTGTACTGTTGCTGAGGCTTCAGCATCTCTGGCTGCTCCTTGAAGACAAGAAGCTTGTATTTGTGAAGCGCATCTGATATGAACTCGAAGTCCGCATCAGTGAAGTTGTTGAGATCAATGCCATAAATCTCGGCGCCAAAGTCGACTTTGCTGGATTTCGCATGCGCTATGGGGACTACGCGGCCGCTTGTAGCTTGAGCATGCGGGAGAGTGAAGTGGATTTTCTGAGGCTCTAGGTAGGTTGCCTCTTCGGTGACAACAGACGTGATGACCATGATGAATTCTGGTTGGAACAATGACTAGTTCTCATCTGTTGAGTTGAGAGAGTTTAGGGTCGAATTCTGAAGGCTAACCGGTTTTTTTTCTTAACTGCCGCTTCTTGTATTAGACTGATGGTGTTCTCAATATCACCGACCCAAAATGCAGCCAACCCAGCAAGAGAACGTTGCATACTGGTGTGGCTCTATCGGGATTGGACGTCAATCTTATCGGTCACTCACAATTAGACAGTCTGAGCCCGGCCGAACCCCAGGGGTGGGGCTTGAACTTCCTCGGCCGAAGTGACAGGGGTGTTGTCGGGGTGATTGCTCTGCGGGAAGACGAAATCTCGACAAGAGGGTCGCAATGGATGCTATCTTGTTTGCGAATCCGATTCATGTCAAACAAAGACGTCTGAACCGCGACACAAACAGAGATTTTTGCAAGAATTGTAGCCTCCCATCACAATGACGACTTCAGCGCCAACTTCATGCTACATCACCACCTCCTCGGGGACCAAGACTCACTACCTCCTCACCGGCGACCCCTCTGGACCGCCCCTGGTCTGCCTTCACGGTCTGGGAGGCTCGACTGAAACTCTTGAAAGACTCTTGCCAGTTTTACCCAGTTGCTACAAAATTGCCTTGGTTGACTTTCAAGGTTTCGGCAAGACACCGCTGGCCGACCAAACAGGAAAGCTCACCATCGCGGGCCATGTCGTCGACTTACACGATCTCCTCACATCTCTCCAAGAATCTTCTCAAAAGCAAGCAAATGCGAGCAAAGCCATCATCATCGGCCACTCCCTCGGCGCCATCGTCGCGCTGCACTACGCATCCCAGCATCCCGACAACGTTGCCGGCCTCGTCCTCCTCGGTCCCGGCCGAGCCATTGGACATATTCCTGCAGCCCGCCAACGCATGCTTGACCTCGCTGCAAACGTGAGGGAGAAAGGAATACTGTTCGGAGCGGAAATGGCGACCAAGTCGAACTTTTATGAGGACACACCCGACCGCTCGGCCGATCCCGTGGCGCGCGAGGCTGTTCATAAAATGGTCGCTGCATCAGATCCGGAGGGATATGCTCAGACGTGCGAGGCGCTTGCGGACTTGGAGCATGCGGATCCTGACTATTCGGCTATCAAATGTCCTGCAGTATTTATTGCCGGAGACAAGGACATGATTAGTCCCGTCGAACGATCTCGGGGGCTTAGCAAGCTTTTGGGTGGAGAAAGCTGGGTTGAAGTTGTGAAGAGTGGACACCAGCCTATAATCGAGGATTTGAAAGCTGTAGAGCAAGCTGTCACAGAGCTTCTTGGGAAGGTGGTGACCTAGATAAAACTTATGAGAGAATTGAACTAAGATTCGACCTAAATGAACTTCGTTCTGGTGGTTTCGCCCGAGAGCGGTTGCGCCCTGCAAAAGGGAACATACAAATTGTCAATCACAGGTCAAGCTTTCGACGTCGCAAAGTGAATCAGTTGGTCGGCTGGCGTTCTGTAGCCGCTTTTCGAAACCCTTCTCTATACGGGCGGATAGAGACAACGAGGGTGAAGAGGATAATACTAATGATAATCATCGGGATTCAATAGAAAGGATGATAGGAGTTAGTAGCATAGGGACTATATAGCATGTGCGATACTTGGCTTGAAAATGGCCTATCTCTCTTAGTTTTGCGCGACTGTACTTGCTATGTACTGACTTAGTCCGATCGAGGACGATAGTAGGCGGGATTGAAAAACGGAGGTAACAACGACAACAACATCGAGGACGACGACGCCGACGACGACGACGGCAACTACGATAACGAAGATAACATAGATAGCAACTATGATAATACTTATGTAGAGAATAGTTGGAGACACAGGAAAAATAGGCAGTCTATAAATTAAGCCTAGCTTATATTGCGAAGGGGAAAGTCAATGAGCCCAATGCAACGATAGAGTCTCAGGGCACAGAAAAACAGTCGTGGTTCACATGGTACAAGAGGTTTTCGAAGCTGTTGGCGCCGTCTAGTCCCGCCGTATTAAATGAGTAACCGAGAGAGGGTTCGATGATGTGGCCAGCGTCTTCCCCGCCACGTTCGCCTACATTATCGCTCTCTTGAGGATCCTCAACCTGTACGCCCAATTGTGATTGCTGTTGATCGGCAGAACAAGATGAACCAGCCGACTGACTGCTCGCCGTGCCTACGGAGAACGTCTTGACGAATCCTGGAAGGTCGAACTTGTATCCTGATCTGCTGTTTTTGGGGCTGTCTGCATTGGATGAGACGAAAGTGTCATCATGTCTCCTACGCTTTCGCCCTTGATTTGGGGCTCCACTCGTAGAAGCAACTTTGGAAACCTCCGCCAACAACGCACCTAGCAGCTTGATACCCCTTACGGCAATCATGCTATTTCGGTGATTATGTAGTATCGCAATGACGCTCTCAGCAAGCTGCTTGTGCTCAGCCGATTCTCTATCGTTGGGGTCTCTGTGAAGAACGTCCAGCAGGAGTATGACCGACGCGGCGACCGAGAATGCTTGGTGTATCCAGAGCGTTGGTCCATCCTCATCTACAACACACTTGTACTCTTTGATGATGGTCTTTGAAGCTGCAAGACATGTCCGACGGGTAAATGCGAAAGTGGGGTTGATAAAACTGTCAGAAAGAAATGATCGGTGGATCATTATTATCTTATGGCCGGAACTGATTGCTAGAGCACGACGAGCCCAAGGAATCCAAGAGGGCCACTGCGGGTCGATGGAAACATGCGAAAGAAACATCGGTCTGTCCGTCGTCACGAGAGTACGAAGGCGAGCATCCCAAGCCAGAACCTGCTCATATCGAGTATAAGCAGTGTTACGAACCATCAAAGCATCTTGAAGCTGGGGAATAATAGAGGCGACCTCGCGAAGAAATCGGCAATAGCTCGTAATGGTCGGTGTGTCCACTGGTAGTGGCAGCAAATCTTGATCATGGCAGTTCAATGGTGGCTCGGAAGTCGAATACAGTGGATTGATCAAATAGCTTTCGGAGAATGGTATTCCAAACCAGTCCTGGCTGCACAGCTGACACCAGACCCGTCTACCAATCTCCCTATCGATCGTATTGCGAGTTGTCTCGCTGCCTAGACGGTGAAGACCAAGTGACTGGGCTATGCGAACAGCTGCTGCAAGCTGGATGCTTTGAGAACTGCTGAATCCCAGAAGATGCGCGGATATGGTGTTTGTTGCAATAGCTTGACAGGATAAGATGCTCAGATTGGCAGTATAGTCAGCTCGGTTCAAGCACGTCAAGACCGCCCCAAACCAGCGTTTGGACAGAGTTCTCCGTTCCGGATCGCGGAAGCCCCAGGATTGCAGGGTGGCCGGTGAAGAGCACACCAGACTTCCCGTCATAATGGAAAAAAGAAGAGCAACCCATTGCAAATTGACGCCGGATCTGTCGATCATGCCGCCGTAATCAGCATAGAAGGCTTCCAGCTGATCGCGGAAACTCAGTGCGAAGAATGAACCATGATACCAAAGTAGGCACTCTTCGTGGTATTGAACCAGCTGCCACACCTGTTGCGGACTTGGGAGCAGTAGCTGAATGACGGAAAGTTGAGAGCAATCTCCAAAAGGATCGATCACAGACTCTATGACGTGAGAACCTTTGTCCCAAACATCGCCTGAAGCCGTTCCGGCAGTCAAGGTAGCCTCGGGCGAGACAGTGGAATGGTATTCGGGGTCCTTATGCCGCCCCCAAGCTAGAAACTCCAGAATAGATGCCGCGTCTTTCATAACGGCATCGCTGCTGTCAAGTCGATTATTCTGAACATCCGTCCGATGTGTTATGGACTCGGGCGGATTCAAAGTTGGATCAAGGTGCAGCACTTCATGGGAAGTTTCCTCGTCTTCTGCAGGTGGAGGATTGTGCTGTAATGCTGTGCCGGAAGTAGCTCTCTGCACTTCGGCTTCAAGTTCAGCTATCCTGCGGTGGAGAACATGAAGTTGTCGGGCGGCGTCCGACGGTGATCGATGTTGAGGGGAGGCTCGGGAATCTACTACTGTGGACGAGTCCGTCTCGGTTGATCCGAGAACGCATGCATCCTGTTCGCCTCTAAGAGTATGGATTGCGCAAGTTAGCATCCCGCTCAGAAAAGTCTTCCAGAACAACGACCCAGACATTCGGTGCCTTCCCCGTAGGCTACTCTACCTTCGGACACAGTTGCTACATGGCACAGTCTTGCTGCATTTCACCTTCCTTCGTGTACAGGACGCGCAGGCCAGTCGGTTGCGACTGTTCGATGCCAACGAAGCGGATACTGACATATTAGGTGGAATGTCAAAAGTTGCCGAAAAGAAGTCCTCGGGGACAAGATACGGGCAAGCAGAACAAATCCTCAAGTTTCATGGATCAACACTGGCAAATTCCCTTTGCCCAGTGCCTTTGGTCTGATTGCCTCCTGCGTTATCTTTGGGGGATGAACCAACGACATCAGAGATTAGGATCCCAAAGTCCGTCATTGGTTCTGGCTAGCTCCAGGGTGTGACGGCCCCGCTATCCGATGGCCGGGGATCGTCAAAGATGGAGTCCCCGATAGCACCCCGGCCGAGGTCTGCATTCAAATCGTCCTTATCTCCACCAACAACCAATTCAGATCAACTCTATCTACAAGGATTCGCGATTGGCTGCAATTGTGTACCGCATGCAAGATGAGCTTCTTGCTTGAAATATTGCCCGCAGGCTCATGAGCATGGGGTATTCACGCCTGACCAGCAGGTCTTCGACTGTCATCCATCTCTGAACAGAATTGTCTACCTTCCTGTCTTCCAAGAGCTACTGTTCGTGAGCTTGTCAGCTTCTTGAGTAAGATGTTCACGATGGAAAACATGACTTACCGAGAACGTGGCCAAGCTGCCAAAGAAAAGATCAAGCTTCGGCTTACCGAGCCCACAAGCTGGAAACTTTCAAAGCAGGAGAGCAGCATCGCGCCCCCGGAGGTATGGACGAACGCGGACATGGACCCCGTGCCTCCGGAAAGGCGAACATGGGGCAAAGGGGCCTTCATCACGTACTGGTTCTCGGATCTTGTGACTATCTCGACCTGGAACACTGGCGCGGCTATTGTTACAACTGGTAAGATGGCGATGATGTTTTCTTCACAATTTAGAACGCCAGGCTAAACTTCCGTTAAAGGCCTTTCTGCTACCGATGCCATCCTGATTGTCTTGGTTGCCGGCATCTGCAATGCCATTCCAACAGTCCTGAACGGGGCAATCGGGTCTGATCTGCATATTCCATTCCCAATTGCCTCTCGGGCTAGCTTTGGCTATTGGTTCAGCTACTTTGCCGTTGTAAGCCGTGGCATACTAGCTATGTTCTGGTTTGGCGTGCAGACGGCTGGCGGTGCGACATGCGTGACCTCCGTGAGTATGGCCGATAGATGTTGGCGGTTCTTGTCTGACGGTGCTGCTAGGTAATCACTGCCATCTGGCCTAGTTTCAAGGACATCCCCAATCACCTACCTGCCTCAGCCGGTCTCACCACAGTGGGAATGATATCATACCTGATCTACTGGCTAATCCAATTCCCTCTGCTTCTGATTCCGACGCATAAGCTGCAGAAGATGTTTTGGGTGAAGACAGTTCTTACACCGCCAATGGCCCTCGCAATGGTAAGTGTTCATAAATCAGTTTTCATGGTGTGATTATGACAAAATTCTTCAAGGTCATATGGATCTCACTTCGTGCTGGTGGTGGGGGTGACTTCTTCAACAAGCCCAGTCAAGTTCATGGTTCAGAGCGTGCATGGCTGTGGTTGTCTAATCTTGTAAGCAAACCTCGATCATCGTTTGGGCTCATGGGTACTTACCTCCCTGCAGACAAGCGTTACCGGTGGTTACAGCACTCTCGCTGTAAATATTGCGGACTTTTCTCGCTTCAGCAAAGAAAGACGTTCCCAGGTGTGGCAGCTGCCTGTTATGCCCTTCTTCAAGACAATTGTCGCTCTCTTTGGTGTTATCTCCGCCTCTGCCGCTCAAGAAATATGGGGAGTAACGTATTGGACGCCGCTCGAGATCATCAGCACGTGGCAAAACACTGCCGGTGGTAGAGCTGCAGGCTTCATTTGTGCCTGCATTTGGCTCCTTGCGCAGATCAGCGTCAACATCAGCGCCAATGCCGTCTCTTTCGCCAACGATATTACAACGGTAGCACCGAAGTGGTTCAACATCCGTCGCGGTACAGTATTCGTCGCTTTCATTGGCGGCTGGGCCCTTTGCCCATGGATTATCGTTGCCTCTGGCAAGGCTTTTCTCAACTTCATGAGTGCCTATGCCATCTTCATGGCTCCAATGGCGGGTATCCTGTTCACGGACTACTGGCTCATCAAGCGGAAGAAGTACGATGTTCCTGCTCTCTACAATCCAAATGGCATATATAGTTACGGAAAATACGGCTCTAACTGGAGAGCTTCCCTGACGATGGTTCTGGTGATCATCCCAGTCATGCCTGGGCTGGCCGCAAAGGTGTCGCCAACATCTGTTCATATTGATCAAGGTTTGGCGAACTTATTCAGTTTCAACTGGCTTTATGGGTTCTTCTTGTCTATTTTCATTTATTACTCCTCCAACCTTTTCTTTCCTCACAAGCCTACACTTCTCTCCTACGTTGTGACTGGGTTTGGTGACATAGTCCATGGCGTTGAAGCAGATTCAGAGAGCCAAACTGCAGAAGGCAAAGAGAAGTTGGGAACGGAAGTGGATAGTACGACTAAGAACATTGAGGTTGGAGAGTGATTTGGTTTGACAGTATTCACAAGAGCCTTATTCTTACTATGCGATGGGCTTTCGCAGCTTCATGTGACGTGTATATCTTTTCGGTTCCAGATGATGCTGTTGGGTGTGAAGATACACGATCCCTATTACCCACGTCCGGCCCGTTGCAGTTATTGAATCAAAGGTGAGAACATTAGACAAGTCGGTAGAACATCGAGTCCAGTCCGGAGTATAAAAATAAGGACCCTGGTGCTCAATTCGACAGTACTTACTGCGTCACAGGTGACGATGTTACATGTAGCGCATCTGAAATGGAGCTTTGACTCTCATACATGGTTCTAGAAGACAACTCAACCTGCCCATACCGTATACAATGACTATGGATGTTCGGAATATATGCCAGCCTTCATGAAACAATTACGATTCAGCAACTGCATTCCCTCTGGATTCAATTACCCGAGTCTCCAAAAGCGTGCGGTTTTGTCCGGTTGACACTAGCGACGGGAGGCCTAACTCTTCAATCAAACAAATGCGAAACGTTTAACGGCATGAATGAGGGAGCTTCAGACGAGTAAACATTTTGACTCCCTGATTGCATTGTCTGGGATTCCCGGGCCGCAGGTCAAACCCCACAAAGTCAACTTGGACCTCGGGCCGCCCCAGCGCTTTTTTGGCAGCGGACTACACTGTTGACGTACGAAGCCGTCGCATTGGCCGAGACGCACGGCTTGTGAATCTCGAAAGTGGTTAGCGCTTTGACGACTCAACCGCGTATAAAGCCATCAGTCATTTGGAATGAGACGTCAGTGTATGATCGACTTCCAACGGCAGGCTGCCCGGATCTACGACACCACCCGACAGAATGGCTGCTACGGATACAGACGAACTGGCGAGAGGTTACACCCTCGTAAACGACACTCAGTTCAACACAGGCCTGTTCCTTCTTGACAGACTGAAAGTAGGCCCGGGCATGCGTGTTCTAGATGTTGGCTGCGGACCAGGCAACCTCACAGCTCACATCGCAGACATAGTCGGCTCGGAGGGTCACGTTGACGGTGTTGATCCCAGCAAAGAGCGCCTTGCCCTTGCCCGCGAAGTAGCAAGGCCCAACTTGTCGTTCCACGTGGGAACAGCCGAGGATCTGTCGCAATTCAAGACGGCTACTTACGACATCGTCTTCGTCAACTCCACGTTCCACTGGGTACAGGACCAGCCTGCGGCAATTGCGGAGTTTGCTAGGGTGCTGAGACCCGGCGGCCGACTTGGGATGTCTGGCGGCTCCGGGGATTACAAGGCAGCACACGAAAAGATCAAAGAGGAAGTCCTTGGCAGAGAGCCATACAAAAAGTACCCAGTCATCAGCGGGCCAAAGTTTATCAAACAGAAAGACTTGGACCAGCTCTTAGCTGGTGCGGGATTTAAGGAGACGACTTTTGTCATAAACAAGATTGTTAAGACAGCGAAAGACGGCGAAGCCATGATCAATTGGTTAGACTCAAGTTCCTCAGGAAAGACATATGGTGGCGTTCCGGTCGAGTTACGATCCAAGGTGCGGGAAGAGATGAAGCAGGAATGGGAGAAGCTCACGACGAAAGACGGTATTCACATGGACATGCAGCTATTGGTTACAGTAGCCACTAGAGGATAGAAGGCTGAGATGAGTTCACGTCTCTATGGGATCCCAGTTATGCACGGTGATAGATGACAAGGCTATAATTCAATTATTGTCTCTTCGTGTTATAGCCTATTCAAGTTGTCGTTCTCGCGTAAACATGTCCATAGCCTTAGCCGCGTTTGGCGGTGGCTTGTGTATGAGTACGCGTACATTCATGACGATCTTGTCTTGATTCATTGATCTGACGGCTGAGGAACACGAGACCGACGGAAATTGACCTTCCGGGGGATAGAATTGTTTAGACAAACTTTAGAAAACGTCACCTCCCATCAAACCGCTACTCATGCATATCATTGGCGCTCACTCTTCCCGTGCCACACACCAAATTTAGTTTGAGACAAGGTTAAAAAGTCCGATGTGTATGCAGGTCGCATCGCGTTTCTAGAATAAGGTTCCTGCGTCAAGATTTCCACGCGGATCATCTTTCCTCATTTGTCGGCTAATGGAAAACTCGACTAGATAGGACGAAGTCAACGCCTTAAGAGACGGCCGCAGACGCATGGAAAAGGCCCATCCTGGTTCCAGATGGTAGAAGGATTCGGTCTCGGGCATTACGGCATTTTCCGAGATCTTCCGCCCGGTTGCGAAAGGGGTCTTCCCTGAACCTCCACGCCGTTGGCAACGAGCCAAGCGATGTGTTCGATCCTGTACCTGCAGACCACAGCTCTCACAGAATCGAGTGCTTGGCACTTCCGCAACTCAACTTTTTGAAGTATCGGGTGGCTCACTATAACCAACAGCTCGAGCTAAATGCCCTAGCCGATTTCTAGTTCACCATACCTAGTGAATCACGACCATCCGGCAATGAGCCAAACATACATGCAGTCTAAGCCTGATATCTCTGTCAAAGCCGAAGAGGATGAGTCAAGTACTCACTTTGCCGTGCATTGGAGCGAACCAGAAGATGAGGATCCCGAAAATCCAATGACCTGGTCATCTCTGGTGAAATGGACTCATATCCTAACGATCTCGGTCATCAGCTTCTTGGTGTGAGTGACATTTTCTCAAATACTGTCGCTTTCTAGACACACGTTAACATGAAAAGGCCGCTTGTGTCCGCAATGCTCGCGCCGGCTGTTCCCCTCATAATGGCAGAGTTCAAAACCAACTCTGACACGTTCGCTACCTTTGTGGTATCAATCTTCGTATTAGGCTTTGCATGTGGAACACTTTTCTTGTCTCCGTTAAGTGAGCTATACGGACGGATGTTGATCTACAACGTGTCGAACGTAGTTTTTATGCTGGCTACGATGATGTCAGGCTTTTCGAAAAACGAGAGCATGCTATTGTTTTTTCGATTCTTGTCTGGATTCGCAGGCGTGGCTACTATAACGATTGGCTCGGGCAGCATTGCTGACTTGATGCCGAAAGAGAAGAGGGGGAAAGCTGCATCAATTTGGTCTGTCGGCACCATCCTCGGACCAACAACGGGACCCATCATTGGAGGCTATATCACGGAGGCCGCCGGCTGGAGATGGATGTTCTGGGCAATCTCCATCGTTGTAAGTGATCGATGACGCTTTTTTATGGACGCAGCTCACCGTGAAGGCAGATTGCCGTTGTCAGCATATTCATGTTTCTCGTATTGAAGGAAACTTATCCACCCATCTTACTAGAGAGGAAGGCTGCCAGACTGCGTAAGGAGACGGGAAACCCTAACTTCCGTTCGTCTCTCGCGCCAGACTATACTCCGAGCGAGCTGTTCCGTCGAAGCATTGTTCGGCCGCCAAAGCTGCTCCTTACTTGTCCGATGATCACCGTCATATGCACCTACGTCGCAACCCTCTACGGGACGCTTTACCTGCTCTATGCGACGTATTCCTTTGTTTTCACCGAGGTCTATAACTTCTCAACGGTAGCTGATGGCCTTGTATTCCTTCCTGGAGGAATCGGCACACTATTAGGGGCTTATTACATCGGTATACTCAGCGATAGAACAATTAGAAAGCGCGTCGCTGAAGGGAAGACTCCAACGCCTGAGGATCGGCTTGCCTTCATAATCACGGTTCCTGGGGGACTGACATTTCCCGCTGGCCTATTCATTTATGGCTGGTGCGTCGAATATCGTGTCCACTGGATCGTCCCCCAGATGGGCACAGCCATCACCGGCTTCGGGTCAATCCTGATCTTCACGGGTATCCAGACGTATCTCATTGATACGTTCGAGCGATACGCGGCCAGTGCTGTCGGAGCAAATGCGGTACTGCGATGCCTATCTGGGGCATTCTTACCGCTTAGCGGACTGAGCATGTATCACAGGCTGGGATGGGGTTGGGGAAATAGTCTTCTGGCATTCCTTGCATTGGCATTGGCTCCGATCCCCTGGATCTTGGCAGTACATGGTGCCAAGATTCGCAGCTTGCCAATCAACAAAGTGGATTTATAGCATAGGTTCAGCAGCAATGAAAACGTGATCGGACGGAGAACATACATATAGCATAGAGGGTTAAATGCGGCAGAATCTGTTCGCCTGCAGAAACATCAATACTGACACGAATAGAATGACTGAACTGAGCTGAACAAAAGTAATGTATTTCTTTTATTTACGAATACAAATGGCATATATACGACCACAGAAGTATGAAATATGCATAGTCATGATAAGATGCGCGCTGAGCTATGGATAAGGGTCGCAGACTCTTTCTCACAATCTCGCTTCGTTTTGTGTTGCTTCAAAAGGGCTGAACATGGCAACAAGCTCGCTCCGCCCGACTCCATCCAAATGCAGCTTCCGCAAATTCCTTCCCGTTTTCCGATACTCCGCACCCATAGCCATCTCGGCGAGAACAATGATAGCTGCAATAGGTGATGCATCTATGCCCAGCTTTTCAGCCAAGCCATGCCAGGATACAAGTAGATCTGGGACGTCTTCGGTGATGTTTCTATTATCGATGTCGCTTGGGGCCTTCAGCCTATTATGTGGTGGTGAACTTTGCGCCAGGTCAACGAGATCGGTGAAGCTTTGGTCGTAGCATTCGTTGGATATGTCGACGGCAGTTCCGAGGCGAAGTCCGAACTTCCTGCCTATCTCCATTCGTACTTGGTCAATCGCTTGCATCGTGTTGGCCACGGATCGCGTAAGACCGTCTCGATACAACATGAAGTCTCCAGCAGTGCTTTCAATGCGTCCGGCGTTCATCAGCATCATCGCCGGGTGAAAGACCCCGTTGACATTGGAGAGGCTGACTTCAATGACGCTACTGCACCACTTCAGCTTCATTGGGAAGATGCTTTGGATGTCTTCGTAGAACCCAGGCCGCATATCAGCTCGCAAGGCTGTAATGAAAACCACTTTCTTTCTCCCGAAGACGAGAAGGTTGTTGTCATCCATCCTACATGAGTACGGCGACAGGTTGGTCTCCAGTATGTTGGCCACCTCGATCTCAGCATCCATCAACAAAGACACCAAATTTCCGGGAATGGCGATGATTGTGTGGCGTCTAAGATCGTACTGTTTCAGTTCCTCCAAGATTGTCTGCTGCCCAGTCGAGGGGACAGTGAGAATGAGAATCTTGGAGAATGCTACAGCTTGGCTCATGTCGGTCGTCAAGCGCAGGTGCGAAAAGCCCTCCATCATGCCACTGAGCATAAGCCGACCTTTGCTCATCACATCATTGGCATGCCGCAAATGAGTCTCGTGAGAGTACAAGAGTGTACTCTTTCCATTGTTCTGGAGATCGGCAGCAAGGGCAAAACCAGCTGGCCCAGCGCCTACGATAGAAACCCGGGATACCATATTTCAGAGTATCTCTTGACACTAATGACGGTGGGAGGGGACGAAAATGAGGGAAAGAATACGCGGACAGCAAGAATGACAGAGATAATGCCAAGAACCGGAAGGAAAGATCAGCAAAGGTGGTATGACATGCGTCTCTTCATAAGAAAACCAACAACTTTGATATACCGCTGTGCAAGACTCATGTCCGTGAGATCTTTAGACATTGATGCATGTATTTCTGAAAGACACCCCAGCCCTGGACTTGGGTTTGGTATGCTACCTGCTCAAGGCAGGCAACCCTATACAGTGTTACATAGGTTAAGTCAATTTGCCGCCCAGACGGGACGGAGTGGCGAGGATAGCCCGGACAATTAGCTTTCTGTTTCAGCCGCACGGCCGTTGGTGGCTCGATTCCCCTCTTCATGGTCAAGACTTGCCAAAGCTGTGGGCGTCCCACCATATCCTTTGGACGTGCACACCCTAGCACTTGGCGGTGGATTTACAGAATTCGAGTCCTGCTTAATGAGTGATCGGCATGAAGCCAGCTGGGTGGTAATAACGAAAAGCCAATTCTCGACGTCCATAATGAAGGCTTCCTGAAGATACCACCTCAGGAAATATGGAAGTAAACAATCTAGAGACTAGTGGCGATCTGATGTCGGGTGGCTTGCATGACTGCATACCTCCCGCCGCTTCCCCGCGAGGCCCACGTGCGAGTACTACGCCTCGACTCAGCACAAGCGGGCGATCACAGACAAATGCTTTCCTAAAGTGGACTCGGGCAGTAAGACTTCAGTCCGGGGGGGTTTCAAGGTACCAAGCGGGCTCCCGGGCAAGGTTCCCAGAGCGACACGCTGCTGTTGGCGGGGTATTGGGTTTCAGTAACCGCAAACGCCATTAACGAGGAACTCGGAAAGCCGTGTCGAGGAAGAAGGCCATGAATAGCCAGCTCGAGTTCACACGGCGAGTTTAGACTCCTAAAACACAAGACGCGACGCCGTAGGGCGTATTGAGACGGGGATACGATTGAGTTAGGGATGTTGCGCTCCCCGTTGTTTTATACGTGATTGACTAAGTGCTTGTGGTCTAATCTTAAAGTTAGCCTCTTGAACCTTCTCCTCCTTGTTGCCAAGTTTTTGAAGGAGACCACACCTTTGTCATCATTGATCTGGGCAAGCTTTCTCGAATCAGAGCCCTGCCACCGAGGCCTGAGCCGGCACCCGATACAGCCAGTCAGGCAGCTTTCTCCGTCCAGGCACGTAGGTACCGTCACGTATGCCAAAGCTCGGGCTCAGGCCACTGATCATACAGTTCGGATGCTCGTTCCTGTTCACCCATCTGCCCTCATCTCTTCTTCAGCGCGACTTTCGACGAGTCTGTGAGTCGATATGCCCGCCATGGCAACTTCAGTCGTCGTCGCTCTTTTGGTTCTGGCTCTCGGTGTATCTGCTCAGGTCGGAAGCGGTGTCATTGGCTTCGGTATTTCGCTCTATCAAGATCTATGCTGCCAGGCGTGCCACGACTCACTCTCTTCGTTATGGTTGACCTGCACCACTTTCAGCAATGCGACAGCCAGCAGCATGCCGGGCATGTCTGGTATGTCGAACATGCCTGGAATGAGCATGCCGATGGCTATGACATCGCCAGAGTGTTATGCCTCGAACACTCCCTGGCTTCAGACAATGGCATTCTGCATTCAGCAGCATTGCACCGCCGATGGCTACCCCGCCGATAAGCAGGCTGAATGCTTCAGTAATCAAGCGGTCGGCGGAGGACGATCGCCGACATTCGAGCAAAGCATGCCCTTCATAGCACCCACCATCGAGCTTGCGGCCAATGCCACCTGGCTCAACATCACAAGCTTGGTGAACAGCGAGGTGTACTCTTCGACTTACGGCAGCGAAGGCGAGTTCCGCAGGTCCGAGTATCTCCACTCAACATACGCGTACGTAGCACAACGTTTTCCCTCGTGCTTTCCATTGAAATCATACTGACCTTACCCAGCCTCACTTTGTACCTCGTGGTTATTGGAGGATGTCTCGCTTGTGGAGTCTTGACGCAACTCGCGGCTGCTTTCCCTTCAATTCACAGACGGCTTCAAGCATCCAGATTCTGGCCAAAGCTACGAGAGTACATCTTCCTGCCAGGTTTAGTAGGATCTCGACGATTAGAACCTTTGCCTGGTCAGGTAGGCTATGTTCCTCGCCGAACTATCAGCATCTTCATTGCCATCTACATCACTCTGAACGTTGTCTTCTCTGCCATCGGGTTTGGCAGCTTTCAGCCGAACATCAACTTCAAATCCAAGGGTTTTGAGCTTTGCGAGTATGTAGGTAATCGCACTGGAATTCTGAGCCTGGTCAACGCGGGGCTCGCTATCTTATTCGCTGGCCGCAACAACCTCTTGATCGCTCTGACAGGATGGAGCCTCACGACTTTCATAACCCTTCACAGATGGGTTGCACGGATCGCTACCGTGCAAGCTATCGCGCACTCGGTTGTGTATACACTGGCATATTGGCAACCTGGCTATGACGGGTTTTCAGCGTATGTTGCCAAAGTTGCGGAACCTTTCTACGTAAGCTGTCGTTTCTTTAAGAGTTTGGCCACATTTTCTAACATTATCGGCAGTACTGGGGAATTATCGCCACCATATGCTTCAGCCTGGCCATGGGGGTTGCTATTCTTCCGATGCGGATCAACTTCTACGAGACTTTCCTAGCTCTCCACATTGTCCTCGTAGCTGCCGCGTTGGCTGCATGTTGGTACCACATAGTGCCCCATTTCACCCTGGCTTTCGGCTACCAAACCTGGCTTTACATCTGCTTCGCATTCTGGGCCTTCGACCGGACAGCGAGATTACTTCGCATTGCTATGTTCAATCATATTGGCGGCTCACAGGCAACACTTGAGGCAATTCCGGAATCGAAGGTCATGCAGCTGACAGTGTACCCTCGGAGTATGAGAGGGTTTGGCCCTGGTCAACACACTTTCCTCTACTTCCCAGGGTTGGGAATGTTCTGGCAAAGTCATCCTTTCAGCGTCTCAGGCTGGAAGACCAGGACCAGCCCTTCGTTCAAAGTCATCGCTGGAGTCCCGCCTACAGACACAAATAAGACAGAGACGAAGAACAACTCCGATATTGTGGTGCTCTCTAATGGGGTTGTGGACCAGGGTCCAATGTCCGTTTCGTTCTTGATTCACCCCCACAACGGAATCACCGCGCGACTTCAGCAACGTCTTGCGTCCTCCAGCAATCCTACCATGGATATCACGGTATACACCGAGGGGCCATACGCAGGCCACCGAGCAAAGCACCTACCTCTGCTCAACGTTGATACAGTACTCTGCATCGTTGGTGGAATTGGGATAACTGGCGTCCTTGGGTACATCCAAGAATACGCCACTGCGTTGCACAATGCCGATGAAATATCTCAGAGAGGCGCTGGTATAATGAACAGAACAAAACGGTTCATATTGGCATGGTCTGCACGGGAGATCTCACTCATTGAATACGTAAGACAGAAGTATCTTGACGGGGCGGCCGGCATCGAAAGCTCATTCTGGTGTACGGATGCAACTGTCTCGAAGCTACCATTCAAGAAGGATGGCAGATATGAGGTGGATATGACTACGACGGGAGTCATTCTTGGTAGAATGCATGTTGAGACTCTGGTGAAGTCTTGCCTGGAGAAAGAGTGCCGGACCGCTGTCTTGGTGTGCGGTCCTGGCAGGATGGCAGACGAGGTCACAAAACATGTCGTGAACGGAGTGAAAGATGGCTTCACCGTCGACTTGATTGAGGAGTCCTTTGCATGGTGATGTTCGATCTCCCCTGTCACACATATGGGCGTTGAAATATAACTGGGTTTTTGAGCATCAAGGTCACTGGCGCGTAGCGCCAATGTAGATGGAGTGAGATTTCTAATCAGTAAGGGATAGAAGTGCTAAAGCAAGAATCCATGCACATCTACGCTCTCAAAGAAAGTTCGGCGATAGTTTACATAGCGCGGTACGGGCAAGAAAAGCAGCAGAAGTGAGGGAAGCGTGGGTCAGAATGGAGGGCGCGATTGAGGGTAGTGTTGCAACAGCGGCAACAGCAGCCTTAGTGGCCCAGTTCCTGTGGCAGAGATCGCTTCAGCATCGACCAATACGTGCAGAAAATGAACGTTATTGAAATGAACATTGAAAATTGTGGCTCGCTTGGCGTGTGATGAGTGAGAAAGGGTTGAAGATCACATGGTGGAAGAAGTCATTGGAGAGCTGTTCTATTCACCAAGCCACGTGATCACCACCCTCCTCACTCCTTCTGGGCATATCGTTGTTGTTGTCTTTGTAATTAGCATCGTCCCTGTCGTCGTTCCTGTCGTCGTCCTCTTTGTCGGCCGTTTTCATCGTCATGTGTCGTAGATATCCCTTTTATCTTACTATCCACCCGGATAGCTGAAGCTCTTAAGTGCGGCTGCCAGAGTCTGTCAGACTAAAACTGGTCACTACAGGCGGTAAAGGCCTGTATTAAAAATGAATATTTGAAAGGAGGGGGGTTAAGGGGGGATAAAAAGACAGCTGAAGCTCTCAACTTAGAAAACAACCCTCTTCGTAAAGATGCAGTCGCGCCAACAACCCCAAAACGTGCCGCCAATAGGATTCAAACCTAATTAACATAAGTAATTCTCTCTGCCATATTTTTACGCAGAAGACAAAGGTCCACAAGGCTTCATAAGTCAGAAGAACCTTGAGAGTGCCTTTGAGCCCTAACGTCCCTTGATGAGGCACGAGAACAGAAGAAAAGGGTGAACCACCCACAAGCCCCTAGCGACTTCAGAACTACAACTAATTCACGTAGAATCGAATCTCACCAATATCCTCCTAAGCTTCCACTATCCCTTTCATAACGTCCTCTCATCGATCATCATGGAAATACGTTCTAAAATCGAAGTCGCAGGTTCCAATTTTCCATGGGCAGGCCTTCCACAAGAACTCCGACTTATGATACTGAGAATCTTGAAGGGCCTCGTTTTCCGTCAGGCAAATCATCCCCTAGCAAATCTGGCCTGTGTTTCCAAAGAATGGCAGGACTTTTTCGAACCATTACTGTGGCGGACATTGACGCTGCGGGCTTCAGTTTCGGGCTCAGTCTTTGAAGGCCTTCATAAGCTCATTGATGGCCCGATTTATCGTAGAGCCTTGGTCAAAAAGGTTGCAGTTCTCATCGATTTGGGCAAGGGAAATTGCTCCCAATGCGAAAATCCCACTTTCGAAGACGTCATGTTCGGGGAGTGCCAGAGAAAGAGTTTCAGCGGGGCTGGGTAGCCTCTTTTCTATGCTTGCGAAATGGAGCGTGATGAATACGACAAGGGGCATTGCGCTTGAAATCGGCGCGACCTTTCTTTGTTCTGGCTTTCCAGACATTCGCTGCCGTTGTCCAAGGGGCCCAACAGTCGATGTTAGGAGCAGATTGGATCCTAAAGCTAGTCTGCCCTTAAAGAGTGTTTCTGTTGTAACTTCACTTAGGATCGGACGATCCTTTTCTGCTGAGGTCTTAGGTTGGGCATTGGGCGACATCTTGGAAAGTTTGCCCGGTCTTCAGCAAGTCGATTGCGAGCGACCATATCCGATCGAAAGGCTTGAAGAAGTGCAAACCCGGCACACAGTCCAAGAAAACATTCTAAGCAAAAATTTCACGCGAAGTTCGATCCGGAGGGTTTCATTATGGGTACCTCGTTACCGTCCATTCATCACCGATGAACAATCAACGTCCACGATTCTAAGCGAGGCTGCAGTCTCAGCCAGCTTTTCCCTCAAAGAAATGTACATTTCGCAAGCTTTCGAGGCAGGAGACTTCTTCCAACACTTCACCTCTACGGTCTCATCGAGCCCAGAGACAGTATTGCTGGAGCGTCTCGCTCTTACTTGTACTGCCGAACGAACAGAGCTCAATCGCCTACTTATAGCCGCGAGTCAAGCAGCTACATATATGCCGTGTCTTAGTATCATGGAAGTATGGCGTCGCGATCAAGTCGATGGTTTCTTCTTCAGCTACGAGGTTGAGAAAAGCCAAGTCAAACTTACGGTGGCTGTTACTTGGCCACTTGAGAATCTGTCAGAGACAGTGATTGGAGCATGGCAGAAAGCAGCAAGCCGACATGGTGATCGAAGATTCGAATGGTCAACTAAGAGAATCGATCCCGGGACTTTGACGGATGCGAACGATATTTCTAGGTCTCTGAAATTATTTTGTGAAATACACCAACACATCTTTTAACCTTTTAGATACAGAACATAGTTGATGTTGCATCGAAGGATGTGGATAGACGGCGTAATCTTTCAGTATAGGTAGATTGATGATATGCTACCGCAGTTAGTCACAGGATGTTTTGTGAAAGTTGTCTGTCTTGCTACTACCAGATGGCTCAAGTATGTTGAAATGCCCACGATGGCGGTTGAGTGGCTGGTCTTGGATGTCACGCGACTTCAACGAGACTTGCGCCACGCTCACTTCACCTTAATCGCTATTCCATAGGTATGACTTCGGGATGTCCTGGTACTTCACGGCTGGATATAACAATTCGCTCTCGAAGTGCTGTTCTGAAAGGCTAGGCTTCTCATTCTCCGAGAATCGACTGCCAGATAGATGTTCTTCACAGCAGTGTTCATACGTCTTTCAAAACAGCCTTTCTTGCCTCGTATGCTCAGAGTATGAGGGATATGCGGGCGACGTCCAGACGGTTGAGCAATGGTCCTAGCAGATGTCATTACACGCAACTAGATGTTCCACACATACCGAGCACAAAAATTGCTAGTATCATATTTGTTCTGAGAGACGCGATGCCGGAAGCACCGCGTACGTGGCTCGTATGTTTAGGAGGGACCGCATCGGCATCCGGTGAGTGGGTGGCCCTGAATGCTGATCTCCTGAGATTCGTCGATGGCCAAGAAGTGGCCACGTACAACGTTGGTTCGGGGATCTCATCATGCGTCGGTCTCAGACTGACAGGATAGCGAAACCTTGGGTCCAACTGTGTCGCGAGGACTGCCACACGTCAATCTTGGAGCAGGAACTAGATCATATCCTGAAAATCACCAGGTCGCGCTCAATAAAGTGCAGTTGGCTTTTGCTATTCAGATAATGAGCTGAAGTGGTTTTGTCGTCAAAAAGATGGCTGTTCAAACTTCCGACGCACCATTTGGGCCTTTTTCCTCACAGTGGCGGCAACAAGGGCGAATCAACCATCGAAACATTTCTCGAATTGACAGTTCCGACGATCATATTTCGCGGTAAATTGCAGGGGAGCGAATCCATAAGTCCCCACAATCAACCGCAATCCCCCAACATTGAGCCGGGACATGAAGAAACGGAAAGTGGGAACACGGACAAATTGCAAATTTGTCCGCCCGAACTGATCGGAAATGTTTTCGGCGAGGGATGTCGGCGAGGGATGTAAGTACACAAAAACGCTTTCTTCAGGATGACAGGATGAATGGTCTCGAGGACTTGCCGCCAATGCGAGTAGCTCGTAATATGGTCAATATTCTCAAGTAGGCAGCTTTCCCGATCGTGTGTCTTTGCCAAGACCTGGAGGAGTCGCGGAGATGTAAGTTTCATTGAAGATCACGCAACACATTGGATCGGTTCAAGTCCGAAAACTCTCTTTGAGCAGTTCGATTTCTAGATGAGTTATCCCGCCGGTAGAATATTGGACGGCGGAGGCAATGGACATGGATCAGTTGACTAAGCGGATTTTTGCTCCCTGCCAAGTCCACTTCATCAACCGCAGCTTGCAAGGTCGTCTCATGTGAAGTGCGAGGTCTCAAATTGCGCCGCATTCCAAACCTGGGTTGCGGGCTGAGGATATCTTTATCTGTTTCCCATCGAAATGGATTTGGCAACCCGATTCCCGAGCTCTCGCAGCGCCTTATGGGCTAGTGCCTCCGTTCTAGAACCCTTTTGGGTTGACGTCTCGCCAGAAAGGTGATATCGCGTCCTGCATTAGGGCGTCTCAAACCGGCTTGGCGGGAATAGAGTTCAGAATGCGATATTTGGGGGCAGTTATTGGAAACACTAGACACGCAAACCAGCCGGCCGCCCACTCGGTCGGCATGCGCCGACTTGAATCGGCCATTTTTCTTTTTCCTGGAAAAGAAAAGCAAGGGAGGGAACCCGGCGACGTAATGTTTCGACCACTGCATTCATCTTTTCTCTTTCAAAGCAGGTAGACAATCCGAAGTCAATAAACTGCTCCGTGCCATGATCTACGTGTCAAGCCCATCAGCCAAGTTAGGAGTTCTTCTGTCTCGGAGTTGTCAACCGAAACCGAGAGTGAGGTTTCGGCAACGCCCGTCATCAAGGGGTTCCGACGGAAACATCGCCATAAGTTCCAAATTGTCAACACCCCTGGATGGCAACTTTCCACCACACGGAACTCGCGTTCATCAATTTTATTGTGAAGCCATCGCCAGATTGCGCAAGCAGTGATCTATGGAGCAGCGATGATGCTTTTCCATGGATCTCTGAGCGAATCTGGGCTCGAAGGTAGGTCTTGGTATCATCTCCCCTTAATATCAGGGGCCGCTCGATATTGAATCTCTCACCAGCCTTCCACGTGGTGCAGGGAAGCAGACTCCAGTTGTTACCGGGCACTCCGGAGTAAGAATTCGACTTTCTATGGATGAGATAATCTGCCACGACTCACGACTTCGTCTTTGCGGTGGTGTTGATGACGAGACCCGGCCACATGCGGCTCCGTGCGTGCTACCCCCGAATGGGGCACTGGTTCCGAAACTGAATCAGCGGAAAGTTTCTTTGGATTTTGCCAGGGTGTAACCCTGCCTCTCATCAGGAGAACAGCCAACTTCGCCGGTACCCAACAGCACGGTTCAGCGGTGACGAGGCGCGCCGAGTTACAGATGCCAAGGGTGCATGACACGAAAATCCGGCGAACCCCATTCAATCCCAGACGGCAGCAGAAAGCTTCTGGAGAGTAAGGGGCTCAGCGGACGGTCGCGCGCTGGGCGAGGACCCCGCGGACCTGGAGACTGGGGTGAAATGGAGTTGCAGCGGTTCCATTTTCGCAAGACAAGGCTCAGATCAGATCAGACGATGCCAGTACAAAATGTCAATGACCGCCCTCGTCTGATCCGTTCGTGCCTGGACTCTAGCCTCTGTAGATCATCTTTTACGTTTCTTTCATTCTTTTTTGTTCGTCTCATCTGACGCCTCTTTTCCAACCAACCACACTCTTTTTAACAAATCCGCTCGTAGCCGGTCTAGGATCAACAAAATGTTCGTTTCTACTCTCATTCTCTCGCTCATCGCCTCGGTCGCGGCCGACTGCGCCACCAAGAACAACACTGGCGCCACCGCCCCCGGTTCCAAGGCCCAGTGCACTCTCCAATTCGACGGCCGCATCCCCAAGGCTTTCACCGCCGCCGACTTCGATGGAAAGACCAGCCCTTTCAACACTGCCAACGTCTTTGGCAAGGGCCTGAAGTTCAGCGAGCTCATCCAGCTCCCCCAGGGTGCCTCTTCCCTGGTAAGTGACCCACCCCGAGCCGAGCCTGGCCTCTCCCCGGCCCGTACTCCGAACATGCGCGAGACTAACACCGATGCTCTCCCAGTTCGACGTCAACTCCACCAAGCCGTTCGAGGTTACCATCAACGACAAGTCCATCTTCGCTCCCAGCGAGACCAACGTTCAGGTCGGCTTCCGCCGCGCTGAGATGCTGCCCCTCAGCAACGACGGAAAGGATGCTTCCACCCAGGGCGTCAAGACCCTCCACTTCAGCTTGATGAAGGATGCCCAGCGCCCCCTGAACCTGTCCCACGAGTACCAGCTTGTCTTCCTCGAGAGCGCCGACTTCAGCACCAACCAGGTCGTCCTCAAGACCGGTACCATCCTCGGCCAGAACACCGCCGACCCCGACACCCTCCAGCTCTTCGGCAACGTCAACTCCAGCCCCGTCCCCGAGCTCTTCAAGACCAAGTTCACCGAGGGTGTCTTCCACAACTTCGCCGTCAAGCTCGACTTCACCAAGAACACCACTGAGGTCTTCTACTCCCAGGGCAACTCCGCTCTGAAGTCCCAGGGCACTGCTGTCACCAACAACATTGCCGGCCAGGGTCAGTTCCACTTCGGTATGCTCAAGAAGCCCGTCAACGGTGGCAGCGACATCACCAAGAGCGGTGACCAGCCCGCCAACATCAACGAGGGCATCATCTACGGCGGCATCTTCCAGGAGGACAGCTCTACCGGCTGCATCTCCCTGTCTCCTTAAATAACCAAAAAGAGATGGAGTTTGGAATGAGAGATATTTCTCTTTATTAAAATTGGGGGCATTGTGGAGTTGACTTTACGATGGCCTAGATATTCGCTTCTGAATAAAGAGAAAGTTTTTAAAAGATGGACCGCGAGGTTTTATTGAGTTAGATGAATTACTAGATTTCGTCGCTACCATCATGATCCTGCTGCCCTTTATGTGAATGAACTGCCTCTGATGGCCTCTCCTGTGTCGAATGCGCGCCAACGTGTCGAACCCCAACTTGTCGAACAACGAGATAGGCTGGCATAACAGCAATACCCCAGAGAGCAAAGTTGACACCCAAAGCTGCTGTCAGCTGCGAATAATGTCAGTTCTCACGAGTTCAAAAGGCAAGTCAAAGGCACTCACAGGCGCACTCGTCGAGCTGATGCCGGAGCTGATGCACTGGCCTGCGCTTTCGAGAGCTCTTGCAGCACTCGTGTATCTGACGATGTCGCTAGGATGACGCGACATCCATCCGACCAGCCAGTATCCGAAGTTGTAAGTCAGTGCAAAGTTGACCTGCCACATGATGTACAGCGCCCATCCCCGACCGAACTCTGCATCATCCCAGTCGAGGGAGGGCTTGTGCTTGGCGTAATCGGCCTGGACGACAGTGCCCCAAATCCAGCAACCACCGATAAGCGCCATCAGAAACGCATACGAAACCCGTGCGCGCGTGGTCAGCGAGAGACGCTTCCAGTCCAAGAAGCTTCCCAGCGCAGCGGTACCGGCGATCTGGGCAAGCGCAGATACGAGGGATGCCAGTGCTCGGGCGCGGATGGTGAAGTAGAGTGACAGGTAGGAGCTGCTGTAAGGTAGCAACCAGTTGACGTAGATGAAGAATGGCGTGCTGTCACACAAGGAAGTATTAGTTGCACTGTGAAGCGTCCCTTGCATGAGCATCGAGGCTGTCAGACTTACACCAGGAGGAACTCCTTTCGTAGCATGAGACGTCCCAGCTCTTTGAGTTCAGCCGAGTCAGAAATACGCTCAACGATCTGGACCCGGGTGCCGTTCCGTCGGACGACTTTATCGGGTGGGGAGAGGAGCAGGGCAACAAGGGGCCCGAGACATTCTAGACCAAGGTTGAGTCAGCCCCGTCTCATATTGTACCCGGCGGAGTTTAAATCACGAGAAAGGGATTGAGTTGGGATGCGGAATCACGTCAATGGGGGCCGAAGCTCGGGCCAATACTTACGCAAGACTACGAACACGATATACGTTCGCCAATCCAGCTTCCCTGTTCTCTTGCCTTGGTAGTTGAAGGCGAGGTTAATAACACCGCCTAGGATGCTGCCACTGTTCCTGTAGCTACGTATGATTAAGCATTTTTGATGAATCCCGCGACGCCAGCAACTTGCGATGGTACTCACCATAACCAGTACGCAAGATATTTGCCTCGGTTTTCTGGTTCCGGATAGCTGAGCATGATAGCGCCTTCCGCCGCCCAAAATAAGCCAGCTGTGATACCACAAGCAGCGGAACCAACGTAAATAAACCACTCAGTTCCATAACGGTTGTTGGTGTAAAGAGCAGCGGAGTACACCGCATAGCCCATAGTTCCGAAAGCAAAGGTTGCCTTCAACCCGAAGCGGTTCGCAATGATACTTCCCGTGAGACAGGTTATTGTCATCAGAGAGAATAGTACAGCGTTTCCAGCCCTGCTTCTGGGTTAGATCTGGATATCCATATGCTGCTGTGAGGTGCATGTCAACTTACATAACTAAGTACGGCGATTGTTGGCCGCCGGCACCAACAGAATTCATAGCATTCCATAGTCCAGGGGCCGTGAATGCGGCAATGCCGACGACAGTGGCCTGAAAGAAGACTCCACGATACCAATGGTACCTTAGTGAAGATGCTGCTCCAGTCACAGCATTAGCCGGAAAGGTACCCGGACCGTGGGAATTGCTGGCTGAAGTCATATTCTCAGTAACTGATTCGTCAACGTTACTATGCACATTTCTCCGCTTGGAGGAGTTTTGGCAGCTGCGACGTACTTAAGCTAAGAAGCACAAGATTGAGCCTTCGATTCCATGACCTATGATAGCGGAAGGATTTTGAAATCCAATATTGCGTGATATCGGAGACTTGCCGAAGCCGCAGGCTATCCTTCATTGACCAGGTCGGCAATTATTAGTGTGGTTAGAGGTCGTCAAAGAGCGTCCCCACATAACGTAGGCGGCTGGTTGGATGTTCTCACGATCACGACATGCCGACATGCAATTGCGAAGCTCCATGGATGTTTTTTTCCGCTTCCTATGCGCGTAAAAAATGCCAATAAAAGCTGCTGAGCGGCCATTGAGAAATGTTTGTGAAATTTATTCGTATATTAGGTCCCTGGCAGGTTAAAATCTTTTTGGAACGATATTGATGAAATAAACAACACAATAAAAACGTAAAAGAACTGGCTGCACTACTCTTTTCGTCGAAGCCTGCCAAAACACATTCAAGATCCTTTATCCATCGCAAAACAATATCCTGCCTTACATATCGATGCTACTCATGCTGTATTTACGTCGGGCTTTTCCCGACAATGCGTCTACCTGGCGTAGCATGCACCATCAAGATGGGCGATCACGCAATTCACACAAGCGAGGCCAAGGCACCCCGAGACCTGAAGGATTCAGAGCCTAGCAGGCTCTTATCAGTGATTTTAGTCATCAGTAATCGCGAATGTCTTGGAAGAATAAGAGCAACAAGAGCGCGTGTAATGCCTCAAGCAACGCCAATCATCATTTCAAGTATCAGACAGCCTTCACAACTTCCAACACAAACTTTCGAGAACAATCGAAACAAAAATGGCAGATGTTGAATCCGCAGTAGCGCCCCAGAGCGGTTTACCATCATCGGCACTGGAAAACTGGGGGGACATTGACAAAGGTCTGCCCCTCTTTGAAGCATTCAAAGTGCCCGGTCAGCAAGACACCGTCAAATTCGGCCTTCCCTGGTCTTCTTCTTTCCCTCTGGGTCTCAAACCAACCAAAACATTGACTTTGACCGAGAGCATCGAAGCCGTTCAAAGATTCACCCGGTCAGGTGACTTGGTTAAGCTGATCGGGCAGCATGGTGGTGCAGTGTTGATCCGCGGATTGCCCATCAAAACGCCTGACGACTACAGCAAAGTGGCATACGCATTTGGATTTCGCCCTCATGTTGAGGTTGGAAGACCTCCTTTGAGGACTGTCTTAGCACCAAATGTTAAAACGGCAAACGAGGGGTAGGCTCCGCGATGCTCAACAGTCCGACCACATAGCACGAGCTGATAGTCCGTAGGCCACCCGAGCTCCCGATTTGGCCGCATAGCGAGTAAGCATAGTGGAACCCTTGTTATCATAGTGTGCTGATCAGGGCAGATACGGTTGGTCGACGATCAACCCAGCTTGGCTTACGTTTAGTGCCCTTCAGATCCCTGAGTCTGGTGAGTGATCATAGTTTAACTTTGTGATATCGCCATGAATGGCTTGATTGTTGAAACAAGTTTACGATGTGCGTGCTAAATAGAAACAGGCGGCGCAACTCCCATCACATCAGCAATCTACATTGCCCATGAACTTCAACGCCAATCACCAAAGTTTCTCTCGGACCTTCTCAACAAGGGCGTCAAGTACGTGTACCGCTATACGGTAAACCCGCTTGTTTCCAACACTGGAACGAGCGTTCGGGGCGCATACGGACAAGAGGTCGCCGACGGAGACGACGAAGAAACGGCCCGGAGGAAGATCGAGGCTGAGGTTCGCCGTCACAGTGACCGCTTTGAATGGCATGATGATGGGAGCCTTAGCGTGACACATATCGTCCCTGGTTGGTGTTCATCCCCATCATTCGCCATGGAATTTGGCCAGAGCTGACACCACAATGAAGCCATTCGCATCCATAACCCAACTGAGTCTACGGTATTCTTCGGGAATGTCACTTCCGCCTGGGGGCGGAGTAGACATCATGGTGCGACGAGGCCACCGTTCCGCGGCGATGACGGGTCCTATCATCCGCCGCCGACATTCGGTGACGGCACGCCGATTGACGTCGAGGACTTGGACTTGCTGCTGAAACTCGCGGAAGAGGGTGCCGTAGATGTTGAGTGGGAGCAAGGAGACTTGGTTTTGCTGGACGTGAGTACTTGACCTCTGGAAAATCCCCGTGCGAGTGACATCGTGTGTGGTGGCTGACACGAAAGGCGTCCCCAGAATTACGCGGTCATGCATTCGAGGAAGCCTTGGGAGGGGGAGCGCCAAGTCCTGGCTGCGCTCTGGGACGATGACGGGAGGATCAGAGATTTTCCAGAAGGCTTAGAGTTGCTGAAGGGAAGTCCGAGAGTCCCTAGGACGGACTCGGGCGAGACTGTCGGATAGGGATCCACGGTCAGCCCTCATCGTCATTGGCCAGGAATCATTCCCGACTGGATATCTCAATGAATATCATCCCTCAGGCTTAGAGATCTTTGACTCGATCTACCTACCCCTGTGCTCCGGTGAGCATATAGTCTTACTGACTTCAGTGATGTACCCTAAGCTTGCCTATCTTATCAATTATCATCCTTGAGATCTACGTTCTTCGGTTATCGGAGCCCAAGACGATCAAGCCGCAAGACAGACGAAGGCAATACGTTCTTTACGAGGAATGATAATCCGCCACGGAGAACCCTCATCAAGTTCTAGGGGCAGAATACGATCCTAGCCCCATAGCCACCGCGCGCCACGCCTACCGCCCATGACAGTTTGTCAGGACACTGTCAGGTCGTAGTTGAAATTGTGTCACCGCGACAAGTACGCGAAGTCTTACTCGGACAGTGGAAACAGGCCAGGGCCCAAGTGGATCATTTCGGGGGTGAAGGGAGAGACGATGTTCAAGCGCGGATCAGATGAAGCTGGTGATGTATCCGTGCGTCAGGGGCCTCCGAGTGGTGCGTGGTGCGGGATGAATTGCAGATAACCTCGCATGCATGTTCCGTCAAATGCAGTCTATTGTCTTATGCATAAGGCTTAATTGTTGACAAAAGGGGAAGATCATTGCCAGATCGGCTACATCGCGTCTTCTTCAGCGGCGTATGGCAGTGCCATCTTTCGATCAAGCCATTACTTTTCCTGTTGTTCAGTTTAAGACACAATCTCCCCCTTTCGACTCTTTCGACTGAGGCAGTGGATATCCAAGAGTCCTTTTCAAATTGGAGACCTTTTGTCGAATCCATGGTGGTTAGGCACCACAGTCGCTTTGACGATGGCGTCGCTTAGCGGCCCTCTCCTAGACCAACAACAAACGCCACGCTTCCGATGTAACCGCTAACTGTATCATTAGAGGCGCCATGTCTCGTAGCAGATGGCGCTAACAGAGCCCGTCTATCCGCCAGCCGCGGCGAAGAGAACCGGCGATACTCCCTTGAGTTCCTGGATGACGGGTTAAGAGCCCGCAGCTATGACAGTGGACCGCCCGATTTGAGCCTAGAGGAGGCAACTGAACGACAAGGCTCGGACCTCTTCATCACAGCTAGTGCATCCCAATATCCGCATTGACCTTGGAATCGCTCCATTGGATGAAGGGGGTGGCTCTCTCTAATACCCTCTCTCTCGCAATCCATGCCGCTGGCTTGGGAGAGGGAACTTTGATCCTTGATTGTTTGTGTCTTCTCACCTCCAGTCATTCGTTCGCACGGTCGGGATTACTTCGCTCGCAGTTGACGGTCTTTTCGGTTTGCAATTGTTTCGCTGCATGACGGTGTTCCAAGCGGGCGTTCCATCGAAACCTTTTGGAACAGAAAACAACAGCAACAAAAATCTCGATACACACACGACAATCACACGGCAGCACCAGGATATAATGAACGATGGTCGGTGAGGGCATCCACGGGAGATGGCATGAGGTCTCGCACAAACTCTATCGTCGAGGCCTCATCGGGGATCTTCTCAACGCTCCTGGTAACATAATCAGTCAGGTGTTGTCACCGCCGGCGGCGACAACACAGGAAAGTTTGAAGGCAGAGGGGACTCCAGCTGCGGCAGCAACAACACAAGCTGCAGCCGCGCAGCCAACAACGCAAGCAGCAGTAGCAGCACCTGCAACGACACAACAGCCTGCGGCGGCGGCTCCCGTATCATCAACAAAACAAGAACAACAACAGCAGCAGCCTGTGACAACACCAGCTGCCCAAGCTCCGGCGACAACAAAGGCAGCAGCAGCAGCTCAACCTCAACAATCGTCTCCAGCGGCTGCTGCACCCAGTCCTTCAACAAGTAGTAGTGCTGCAGCTGCAGCGGCTGGTGGCGGAACAACATCCGTTGCCAACGCAGCGGCAGCGGCAGCAGCTCCCACAACCCCCGGTGTTACTGCGTCCTCCCATGTCGCAGCATCCTCTTCGATATCCCCGACTACAAGAGTCTCTGGTCTCAGCGGTGCAGATGCAACGAGCTCTGGAGGGCCGGCTTCGAGTCAGACACCAATCTCACCAAATCTCGATACCCAATCCAGTGGTGGAACTCCCAGTCAGACTCCTTTGGTAGCGACAGGTGTCGTATGTAAGTGATAACGTCAACTACACAACCCCATCCCTCTAAATGCTAATCTCATTCACAGTGGGTATCGTTGTCTTGATGGGAATTTCCCTGCTGCTTTACTGGTGCTACCGTCGAAGAAGAAGGGCAAACGAACATCACCACGCCGCTCTGCCTCCCGAAAGCCCCTCCAACGAATACGGCCCCGAACCTCGATATCGAGATACCATCGATACAAGCGTCGTCCCGATGACTGAAGTCATGACCGATAGTCGCGCAGTCAGCGGCATTGACCAACTGACAGTCGAGCATCCCAAACCTCAAAGATCATCCGCAGCTCCACCCCAACTTACACTGCAAGGCCTATCCTCAGTGTCCGAACGAACCAACCCCTACTCGGGAACGCCATTCACTTACGCTCAAGCTCAACAATATGCACAATCCCATGGGTTCTCATTCCCAGCTCCACCGCCAATTCCAGAACCTTCCCCTATTCGTATCTTCAGATGGCCAACCCGGTCATCTCGCTCCGGCTCCTCCGCCCCAAGTGTCTGGTCTGCTTGGCGAACATCGAAGACTCCTTCACATGCACAGTCTCGTGCACAGTCTAGAGCATCTCGCAGCACTATGTCTTCTATGCTCTGGCACGGAAGGAGAGATGTCATCGCCAGGAGGACAATGAACCAAACTCCTGTGTCAACAAAGAACGGCTTCCTAGCCGCCAGTACACCAGACAGCCCGATGCCAGAGGGTCTACACACGCCGATCCTGGACTGGCTAAACTGGATACGTGGAAACCAATCCGAAAATGGCGACCCGGAGTTCAACCACAGAAAAAGTATCGCCAGTTCCGAGAGCTCTCTTTCAGAAGTAGGAAGCATTGCCAGCAGCGGTGTCTTCTCTCCCACACTCCTTTCATGGCCTCCGCCGGCCGAAGGCGCGCCACCCATGATCGACTCAGATGCCTTGGAGGCTCTGCGATATTTACCCATGCCTCTTCAGTTGAAAAGAGAGAGCAGTAACGGCGAAACCTTTGTAGAGCCGTCTGGCAGCCGTGTACAAAGCTTCCAATAACTGTAAAATCATGTAATTAATGACATCTTTTTAGACACAGCTCTTAGGTACGAGCTGTTCGTCGTTGCATTGCTCAGGTGTCATGGCAAAGTCAGTATTTATAACTCAACAAATACCAAATTTGATTATTGATGAGACATAACGAATTAACATGATCATTGTCTCTGCACACCATTGAAACGTTTTGATGGCTTGGTCTCCATTATTTGTCATGAATCAGGAGACCTTCCCTCAATAATCACCTCTTGTCCAGGCACTGCTTTATTCTTCCCAGGGTAGAAACAGGCATAGAATGCACAGCCAGCCAAAAATCCCACAATCCCCAGGGAAGCGTACATCCAAACCAAGTAAGGGTCTTGAGAAACGGGAGCGAGAGCGATGCAAATAGCCGCAGCGACACCAATTGTCAGCCAAAAAAGGGCGGATACAACCGATCGAAGACTAGGGAAATTTGAGCGTTAGATTTTATCTTGGCGTCATCGAACCACTGAGCCAACTCAGGGGCACTCACTTTTTCGGTGCGTGGGTGAATGCTAGCTCCAGCCCAGTAACGATGATGAACGCCTCTGAAAACGCCACCAAGATGTACGCCGGTGCCTGAATCCAGACGTGAATGCTTTTTGGGGGTGAATTGTATATGTAGTGCTGCAATACACTAGCATAAACCATTGAGATAGATGCGAAAAGGAATCCGACGAAAATTCGAGTTACCGGATCGAAGTTGATGCGATACTTCCGGAAGAGGGGATACACAACGACTATGGAGTTCTCGGGTTAGATCATTTCCTAAAGCGTCTAGCGTAGATGGCTGCTTACTGTCAAGAAATGGAATGAAGATGCACAGGGCGATGGGGTCCAGATTCTGCAGTAAATCGTTCGGTGTGCCATGTAGAGCCATCTCGCCTGCCTGGGAAATCAGATTGTTCCAAATCTGGATCCAACAGATGAAGTAAAGGGGGAAGAACAAGAACATCTAGACATGAAAACGTCAGCTTCACATCATTGTAAATAATCGAGATCTTCCTACCTTGCAACTGTTCAGTCCCCTCATCACGTCCATGACGTATTCGTCAGTATACTTGGCTTCTCTTGCAATCGCATACTTGCTTTCGTGACCAGAATCTCTGAGCGCCGAGGGGGTGGCATTCTCAAAGCCCTTCTCTTTGATAGCAATGCTGGTTACTCGGAAAGCATCCACAATCGCAGATCCTTCGGGTGGAACCTTCACATATTTCTTCTGGCCAGAGATGAAGACGGCTGCGGATATGAGAATTGCACTGGGCAGGTTAGACACCAAGCCAGGTTAAAAGGTTGGGCAACTCACATCAGTGGAATCAGGTACGCCAACCAGAAAGAGTGATGAGCCTCGACGTTGACAGTGATCAGAGGTGACAGAGCGCCAATGTTGACAACCCAGTAGAACCTGAATAGTCATTAGCTAGTATCCGCGATGTTGTTTCACTACCTATGCATCATCTTACCACATGAACAAGCGTTGTACAGTCAGCTCAGGATCCACAAGAACCTCTTCGCCAGACTTCAGAGTCTTCACGACAGGATGGGAGTTCTGGTATTGTTCGGCGCACATGGGCGTGACGTTCGCTTTGATCCCACCTGTACCAAGACCGATGGTGATCATTGCGGCGATGAGGCCACCAAAACCCGCCCCGCTGGTGATCGCTTGCGGTGTAGAAGTTGCAACGAGAACGATGAGACCGATGGTGTAGACAGAGCAAGCAGCAAGGATTGCCTTGAACTTTCCAAGATACTGGTCTGATAAAGGTTTGTCAGCACAGCGCTATGTGGAAGGTTTTTAACCAACTTACCTGCTATAACGGCGCCGATGACTGTCGATGCATATGCCCAGAATTTGAAGAAGTTGCCCAACGCAGTGGCCACAGCTTGGCCTCGCCCGAGAGCTCCCGGAAGATCAGAACTTGGATCATAGGGGTTGCTATGATGGAACTAGTTAGCAATTTGAAGTAACTCTAGTCGAAGTTACACAGCATTAGAGTTGAGACCGCGTAAGTTCTCTGCGTACTAGGCGACTTCATTCAGCGTGACAGTAGTAGAGATAACAATAACAACAACAACGGCGGCGACGACAACGGTACCTCAATACGGAGTACATGTGAACCCAAAGGCAAACTAGGTAGTCGCTCTAGCATATGGAACAGAGGTAATCTCTTAGAACTTACTTGATGTAATTCTGAATCGGCCCGCTCAGACCAAAGTAAGTGAAGCGCTCTCCGAGCTTTTTTCCTGACTGTTAAAATCGAGCTTCAACTGAATTGAACGAGTCTCATGATGGACATACCTCAACAACCAAGATCAGAAGTGCGACGGTTGGGAGTTTGTCTGGAACTCTCCTAAGGCCCGCCCATTGCTCCGCAGCCAACTTGATCGGGGCATCTGGATGTACCTGGGCCTCTTCTGCGCCGGCGATGTTGTCTTTGGTGTCGCCCATCGTCACTCTAGCACGATCAAGAAGTTTTCATGTGCCGAAAATCGAACGATGCCCTTCGGAAGCTAAATGCTGGAACATCTCATAGTCATATAGATGACGAACAAAATGCTTGGCTCCGGCCTTTGTTCAAATCACTGATCCTCTGACTCGACCCGGCGCAGCGGGTAAAGCGGGGTCCCCCGGACAGGCGCGTGAACGTCTGATACGGGAGATAACGCTGGGGATTTTGCGCAACTCTCATAGGCGGCGTCCACTGGCCTATCACTAAGATAGCGGTTGAGAACGCCACCAATCAGATCTAACACCGTCATCTTTTGGTGGTTCATCCGCACTTGGCCCACCAAGATCGGCCATTTGAACGCCGCCAATCAGACACAATGCCGGCCGCCGAATTCGATGCGTTGGTCATGGAAACGTCCGGCCCGGCGATTGCGGCTTAGATGATGAGACTAACTGCGGAATGAAATGAGACCTTTGGCTCGATATCGCAGTTTGATCGAATTCAACTACATGCACACACATCGAAGATGACGGTTTCAAAAACAGCCTGCGAACAGCTGGAAGCTGAGGCATACCCCGGACGACTTGCTATTTCGGCGCAAGACTACCCAGGTATAGATCCAGAGTGGGTTCGGCTTTGGAATGATCATGGCGGCTCCATGGTGAGAGCCGATGAAGTCAGTATTGAAGAGTATCGGAAAAGCCCGGGGAAATACAGCTTCACTTATCCGACATGTGCTGGTTAGCCAAGTTAGAAGCCAGATTTTGTCTCAGAATGCGTATTAACAACAGTGTAGGACCTGAAGTATTCCATGTTGAAGATCGTAAGATCCCTGTTACCAGGCCTTTTGGCAAGATCACCGTTCGTATCTACTCGCCTGAAGGCCCTGGTCCGTTTCCCGTGCATCTCAACTTTCACGGAGGTAAGCGAGCACCTCGTTTGAAATCCGAGCAAATATGAGGACCAGTAGTTGACGTTACAGGCGGTTGGGTTCTTGGTGGGCTACAGAGCGAGACTGCATGGTGCCGACACATGTGTAACAAAGCAAACATAAAAATCATCGATGTCGACTACCGTATGGGACCTGAACACAAATTTCCGACCGCGATTCACGATTGCTGGGATGCTGTCAAATGGGTAAGACTTTGCCCATCAATAAGAACATCCAAGCTCGTGGCTAACATCTCCATCCTCCAGACTATCAGCAACGGTGAAGCTCTCAACATCGACCCGACCAGCGTCTCGTTTGGTGGGCTGTCGGCCGGTGGTCAAATGTCTGCTGTTCTTGCCCATTTTGCAAGAGATGAAAACATTCCAATCAAGTTGCATCTCATGATTGTTCCAGCGACCGACATGCGGTATTGCAGCCGCAAGATCAAAGGGCTCAATGAAATTAACTGTCCATATGAAAGTGCTCGACAGTTTCACAATCTCCATTGGGGACCACTGGGGAGAGAACAATGGTTCTTGAAATATTGGCTTGGAGACGATGATGGTAGGATGAAAGCCAGCCCTGAAACAAAACCATTTATTAACACATTGAGCTAGATGAACAAGAAAGATGTTTGAATGAATGGATCTTAACGCCCGTCTTGGCGCCAAACTTCAACGATCTACCGCCAGCTCATATCGTAACAGCCGAGTTCGATCTTGAGCGGGATGAGGGGGAGCACTACGGGAGGCTACTCACAGATGGCGGCAATCAAGTTTCGATGAAGAGGTATGAAGGTGTGCCTCACGCTTTTGCACACTACAATCATCCAGAAAGAGGTCTTGGCAAAAGTTTTGAGTTCATCACGGACACCGCGTCTTTGCTTAGATCGACGCACTACGGGGGCTAAATAAGAAGAGTTGTGCCATCCCGGCAAAAGAAATACTCACGTTGTCTACCTCATTCATCTTTCTCTTGATCGCCAGAAAGAGTCAAACGCAATATTACATACTATAATTCCTGTTGTAGCAGCTGCCATCGTCGTCGCTTCTGTTATCGTCGTCATCTCTGCTGTCGTCGTTGTCGTGGTCTCTACTATTCTCACCATCCGCCACGAATGTTCTGACTAAATCAAAAGGAGTTTCGGGACAGAACATGATTGCGCAACAGCTTGGAACCAATGGCGTGAGCTGAACGTCAAGCAGCGACATATGGAGGGGAAGCAACCGGCACTCATTTCCATCCTCGTCAATGTGGTCGGGCGACGAGGATGAGTCGTGATTCACAGCGGAATACAGGTATATGCCTAGCTGTGTGGCTGTCGAACATGAAGACACATTCGGAACCAAATAATCCTGCATGTCTTAGCTTGTGTGGACCTCAATGTTCTACGGCATGCAATGTTTTTCAATTATCCGTTCGATATCCTTCAAGCCATCATACCACCTTATTTGGCAAGATCATCACTAGTAAGACTAAGATGGAGGGCACCAAAGATGATCATGAGGGGTTGCTGCAACAAGACTCCACAATTCACCTGCAGAGCGCATGACTAGTATCGGAAAGTTGACTTCAATTGGATTTTGAACATCTCGGGTCGTACCGTAGACATCGCGGATCTTACTATATAGGTCGGATGTTAGGGGCGAGGGGAGTGGGGATCAATTACTTGAGACTGTCCTGATCAATTGGTACCCACGCCATTTAAAAGCCACCGTCTAATGGTTTCTACTCCACCACCTTCAGAACTTGGAATACACATCAGTTTGTCTTGTCCATGAGCCTTGCAATGTCAAGGGTTACCAGGGACGTTCAGACGCACTGGGTTCGCCCATGTCAGCCTCAAGGCAGTTCAGGAGATCAAGTATGGCCTATTTCGGACTTCGATTACATTCAGCCTGCAATCAACATTCCCCTTGTTGCAATATACGCCCTTCCTTCTGATGCAAACGGACCATCAGTCATTAAGGATTTGAGAGTAGGCCTTGCTGAAACACTCGGCCAATACAGACAATTCGGTGGCAGATTGCAGATCAACGACGAGACAGGCCAGCACACCATCAAGACTACCGACCATGACGTCGTGGAACTGAGTGTCCAATATCACGATGGGCCGGATGATGATTATGTACCATCCTACGCCGCCCTCGAGAAAGACGCATTTCCACCTATGTTGTTAGACAGCAAAAAGCTTTTGCCAAGAATCATGACCGAGAAGCAGAACCTCACCCAGCACGGAGACTTTCATGAGGACGACGCCCCCGTCACAATGTTTATGGTTACCTTTATTCGAGGCGGCTTGGTCATTGGCGTTGGCCTGCATCACTTAGCCACCGACGTTTCAGGACTTGACGGCTTTCTCGAGTCCTGGGCAGCAAACACGAAAAGGTTGGTCGCTGGCTTACCTCTGGCTCCCTTTGACCACTCTATCATGGACCGCGCACTTCTCACGCACTCTGGCCCTGCGCCAGATGTGAAACGGTGGACGGAACTGGACCAAAGGTTGAAGACCGTCAAACTGCTTGATACGGCTCCTCAGCCTCCTCCTCCCGAATTCAAAATGCCCGCCACTTCGGAAGTTCTTTTTCATTTCCCAAGGTCCAAGATTAATCAACTTAAAGCCAATGCATCTCGGACAGACCCAAACACTTGGATATCGTCTTACGATGCCATCATGGCGCTCTGCTGGCGATGTGTCTCCCGCGCTCGTCAGTCTTCAGTCACTGGAGACACAACCACTACACTGATGTTCGCTATCAACGGGCGCGGTCGTCTCAAACCGCCGCTTTCGAAGCATTACGTTGGCAACGTCGCCACGCTGAGCTGGTCGGAGCTAACCTTCGATGAGGTTGTGGCACCCGGTGCCTTTCCTCGCCTGTCGGCATTGGTGCGTGCAGCAAACGTCGAGGTCGACGGCGATGTTTACAAATCAGTCGTGGAGTGGGTTGCCGGTGTCCCTGACAAGCGACGTGTCGCGTTTAACATGAACGCCTTCTTGGGTCCGGACGTGGTGGGCAGTAGTTGGCAGGGCTTGTCGGCTCATCAGACGTGGGACTTCGGGTTCGGGACGTCAAAAGCGATTCGCTGGCCTAAGCCTGATCTCGATGGATTTGTGTTTTACTACCCTTCCAGAAATACGGGTGACCCGGACGAGGGTGTTGAGATGGTGGTGTGTTTGGAAGACAGCGCGATGCAGAAGTTGCTCGAGGACCCGGAGTGGCTGAACTATGCGGTGGCCAAAGGACCGAGGAGTTGTTTTGATCTAGATGTGGCTGGAGCCTGAGCGTGTCTTGCTCGCAGGTGTGGGACCCTTATTGGACTTCACTCTGGTCGGTGTCGCAGCAGATCAAACAATCAATCCGACTCCAAGTTTACATTCATGTTTTAACTCCCGCAGGGGCTGAGATTAATTTGCTTCTTGGATTGTTTGGCCTAATCGTCTAGGTAAGCTATCGTTCGACCGCGTAACATGAAACTTTTAGGTGAAGTCCGTGTAATTTGGCCAATCACTCCGCTATGCCGATTTGGCCCAGTGGTATCGGGGCGGCGGCGTTCAGGGTATGGGATGGCGTTGGACGCCGTCGAGGCAGTCGATGATTTTCTTGAGCAAGTAGTACATGGTAGCATTACGGCTACGCTATAAGGAGACAAACAAAACAGGACTCAGTTTAGGGTCGTTCTGACTCCGCAGCTTTGAATGCATCCGCAACATGAGGTTTCAGTTGAAGAACATTTTCAATACCCCGCCAGAAAAGTGCATCTATCCTCAGAAGCCCGAGTCGTAGAAATGGGAATGAAACCACTTTGAGTCTTAATAGCTTTCGGGTGGACTCTAAATCAGCAATCCAGCCTGATGCTTCTTCAAAGTCAGCGGACGTAACGGCCATCGTCATCAACGTGAAGCAAACCGAGGAGAACATGAATTGGTTCCAAGGAGCCCAGAAGCCGCCGGCCGTATCGGGGCTTAAACTCCGGATGATTGCAGACATTCCGACGATGCATGTTTTCATATCTTCTCTTATCGCTCGCAAAGATCGCGACGGATCATGCGAGTGGTACTCCGTTGCCGTAGTCTCTGCCAGCCATGGCCTGAGCTTAGCTCGGCCGATGATCAGTTGCACATAAAGCTGACCAAGGCCATTTTCAGTGAAAGAGGTTGAGTTGTCATCGCTGGAGATGTTGCGCAACTCGTGGAGTAGTGGCTGTGCTATGTCAAGGGTTCTCTCGTGATCCCCAGATAAGATCCCGACACTTCGCGTAGAGCTTGGGCATGTCAGCTGTGAAACCCATTGCCAAATATTTGACACTTACTAAAGCTTCGACAACGTTAATGCAAGCGTTCGTGTGATAGCTGAGAAGTTCATCAGGTGGTTTTGTGCAGGGGCGTCGAGGCTAGAATCAGAAAAGTCATCGTAACCCAAGGTCGTGACAAGCCAATCGTCCTCGTGAATCATCGGTGGCCGACCAAGGCTGCAAGCTAACCACTTATCAGTCGCATAGACGATGAAAGATAGCCTACGACGATGTGATATTTGCCATGATGCCATGGACCATCTTGAAGGGTCAAGATGAAGACCCAAAGTAGTAGCACAAGATGCCAGCCTTCCCAGTAGGTCCCACCTGGAAGCTGCATCCGCGACCATTGGATCAGACGATGGCCGGAGGACTAGCAACAGTAGCGCTTGCACGATGGCGAGCGTTGGTGAGTGCATTTCGTACGCCAGGCTCTTCTCAATAATCTGAGAGAGTTCGGCATATGGAGGCCTGTCGTAAGCTACATCGACACTGAGCTTGTCGTCGTGGACAGCGAAAGGTAGTGAGATGGCATATGTCGCGGCCACGAGACACAAAGGCTCTGATTCGGGGTCTAAGGGGTGGGATGCTGAGAATATTGGCCATTTCGGATAGATGAACTGGTAGAATAGCCGAACTAGGCGTCGTCCAACATCCAAAGGCATAACCTTGTGTAACTCCTCTCTCAGAGAGTCCTCCTGGCCTTTGCTGAGGCCAGCCTCCTCTCGCCTTCTAGAGAACAGAGACTGTTGTGAGATTAAGAACTGACAAGGAATTGGGCTTTCCTGTACTGAATGGATGGCCAGTTCTTTGAATCCATACATGCCCATATCGTTGAATCGGTAGTGGCGGACCAGGAGAGGGTCCATGTCGCTGCTGAGACCCATGAACTGCGGATTTGCACCTGCGGGATAGCCAGTATTCGGCACAGACGCCATGCTCATGTTGAGTGATTCTGTCTCAAGAGCAGAGACGGCCGGCGAGTCAGGCGGCCGCGGACTACGGAACATGGCCTCAAATTCGGATTGCGTGGTGTCGAAGTTGAACGCTTCGCCAAAGTGCATGGGCCCAGCCTCGGGAAACTGCCCATCAGTGAAGCCACCGAGGACCTGACTTGGGCTTGGTGCGACTGTTTGTCTTCGACTTGGTGCGTCAACACTGGCGTCTACCTGGTCCGCGTGTGGCCCGTCGGCTGGCACAATTCTCTTTCGGGGCGCTGCAGCCTCGATGAAGGTGCACTCACGGCCATGCAAGACACAGAGACGACACGGTGGCGCCTGGTCGATACGACATGCCGTTTTTCGTGCCCGACAGAAATCACATGGCCGCTGGCGTTTGCTCATGTAACGACGCGGTTGGGTGATGTTGTTGGACATCGTAGACGCGTTGGTACGTGATAACGCATAGGAAACTGAGCCAGGCCGGTGTCAAATGAAATTTTGTATGTGTTGACATGTCAATCTCATCAAGGCGTAGAGTCTAGGTGATATTGGCTCGATTTCGAGGCGCTATCCATATCAACTCATTGATGTCGGAGAAGACTTGAATCCGACTTTTTTCGCCGGCCGCGATAGAATTCCTGGGGCACACTGTCCGGCAGCTCCAGATGGCACCAGCTGGTACTCACCAACCCCTTTTTGGCCTTCACGATACAACTATGTGCTCTTCGACTTGACAATACATTGACCAGATTTGGGAAATGTGGCAAAATAATTCATGAAGCTCATTGACTCAGGCGTTGTTTCCTCCGACAAAACAGCTTCACGACACTCCCTGAAAAAACCAGCCGCAGCCAGTCGTATCTCCATGTACGCCACGTGAATGCCGATACAGATGCGAGATCCAGACCCAAACGGCGAGACGACGGCTTTGGCGTCGCTGGACATGTTTGACTCTGCGAACCATCTCTCCGGATTGAATCTAGACACATAATGTTAGCATTGGAATATCGGTCGAAGATATAGCCAAGTCACCTACTCCAACGCGTTCGGGAACAAGCCCTCCTTTCTATGCATTGTGTAGCTTTGGGCGCTGACGGTTGTCTTCTCGGGGATCATGTATCCTTCCAAGTTCAAGCCGCCAGAGGGTGCTCTCCTTGGGAAAGCGCCCTGCGCCGCAGCGAAAAGACGATTCGTCTCGCTGATCGTAGCATTCAGCAAAGGCAATGTCTCCACGTCCGCATCTGTAAAGTTGTCTGGCAAAGTTGATACTTCCGCCTCAATTTCCGCTTGAAGTTTCGGACGGGACAAGACGGCATATATGAGATAAGACAGGGTCACAGCTGTTGTGTCGGTTGCAGCGACCGTAAAGTTTCCGGCCTCGTTCTTGATGTCGAACTCGGTCAGGATCTCTCCCTTTTCGGCGCCAGCCAAAATAGTACCAAATATGTTTCGCTCCCCCATCTGCGTTCGCTTTTTGCTGTTCTCTACGGCGCGGGTGGCGTAGTTGAGCACGTAATCCCATCCTCGGAACGCCGTTCGACACCACGGGTGCGGGATCAAACGACCCACAGTCTTGATCAGTGGCAGTTCTGCCGTCAAGCCAGAACTCTGAATGTAGATTGCCACTGACCGAATGAACTCATTTTTCTGACGAAGGTCAGTTCAATATATCAGCCGCGACATGCCCAAACCATCATCTGGATGGACAACGTCTCACCTGTCCCTTTCCGAGCATGTCCCAAGACTCGCCGAACATCAATTCCCCCGAAATATCTGATGTCATGAACGTCCACCATTTGAGCACATCGGCCTTCCCATTCTCCTTCAGATCATCCGCGATCCTGCGCACGGCCTTCTTTGCGATCGCTCTGATGGTGTCTTCCCATTGGACTCTGAGCTGAGACTTGCTGAAGGCCCTGGCGAACATCTTTCGACGTTGCGCATGCTCTGAATGATCTGTCATGGTAAACAAACCTGGGTAGGGGTGTCCGCCGAACTTCAGATACCACTCGTGCTTGGTACAGCGGGAACTGACAGAGTAGATCTTTCTGTGGCCATCGACGGATACGACTGAGACTTCGCCAGGGCTGAGTCGCACGATGTCGCCATACTTGCGATGTAGGTCGTCGACGTAGAAGATTCTTCTCCCCATGACAACATGGTACTTGAGGACATAGTGGGTGAAATGAGAGTACCAGGGTCCGGGTAAGTACTTCAACGGTGAGAGCAAGGAACGGAGAGCGATCTATACGAGCAACGTCAGCATTAGACAGACAATTGCCACGACTGGCAGAAGGTGTGATGACACTTACGCGAAGGGTTGATATTATGACAATGCCAGCCAAGAGCACAGCTATAGGTCTGCTGACGAGATCCATGTTGTTGTTCAGTAATTCAAGAAGCGGATGAGGATGACCACAGCGGCATTATTCAATTTAGAACAGTATTTGATATTTATAAGATATCAATGGAGCTCATGTAGAGACATAAAATCCATGTCACCATCGTGAGTTCCAACGCGAAGAGTCAAGCTCGGCGTCGGAAATCAAGAAAGTGCGAATACACCCAGGTCACTCAAACGCTGGCATTCCGGCTGCATTCCTCCAGGGATTGTACTGCTTATTTCTGCACATACCAGGCCTTGGGCCTTTGATCGTCAATTTCCCCCGAAGATCAAAGGCAGCGCCCTGTCGAAGCTACAATCTCGTAGCAGGTTGCGCCCGCATCCCGCTATTTCATCCCACCGGCTGTATCCAGGTTAGGCCAAATTCCACCAAGAACGTGAAACACAGCATATTGAATGCCCGTGTTCGTCCAATCAGTGGGCTATTGTGCATCCTCCTGTTGTCATAGATCAGCTTGTGGAACCAAAGCACAGTTGCTCCCGGCGGGATGCCATGGCGGACTCTGGGCTTAGTGTTGCGCCGGCATGTACTTACCGTTTCATTCGGACATTTTCTTTTTAGTGTCGCCGAACAGCCACTTTGAGGTTTCGATCTAATCTAATGTTCATGAATAGAAGTAGGGCTGGGTTGTGTGCATTTTTTGTTGTCGCTGAACGGCGGTTCAACCGAAGATGGGACGAAAACATCTCTTGGTCTGATGAATACTTTTGACTTTTCAGATAGATAGTGATCACAGAACTACAGTAGTCACTGACATAGAGACGGAGAAGACAGCGACAACGATAGCGACGACAGCGACGACAGCGACAACGAGAACAATGAGGACGATGATGATAGTGATAAAGTTAATGGGGATAAGCAAAATACGGATGATACATAAGGGTAATAACAAAAGAGGACATTGTATTTCATATGGCTTATGGGAAGTAGTTCGCTCTGTTAGCTGAAGTATCCGCCGAGATTGCTGGCACTATTAAAGATCCAATGCGGTAGCTCTTCATAATTGACCACTCGATGTACGTGGTATTGCATCGCATGATATCTTATTCGACGAGAAAAGTCACGATCTGAACGATCGGCGCTCCTTGCCAGTTATAATCGATACTTATGACTCTCACGTCCATGAATTAATTTTCAAAGGTTGCATCCTTCTCTGCTCACGACCTGTTAGCGATTTTGTCAAGTCAGAAAGTTTGATTGACGACAAGTCAAGCATCCGAACGAAAACATGCACCGTCTATAAGGGGCGCATAACAAGCGCGGCTTCGGTCCCTTCTGCCCCGAGATATTGGAAGTTGAGCATCTCCACCGCTGTTGATTACCCCGCGGAGACCTTCCCCACGAACAAGCCACCGTGCCTAGACCCAGAGCTACCCAGCTCAACATAAGATCCAGATACGTCAGTGGATTGTGGATTGAGACCCCGGGACGAGGAACAGAAAGGAATTAAGCAGACGACTCAGATCTTTCCAAGAGCAGCCGCGGTGTCGGGGCCGAGATGGATATTGGGTACTCCACCAAGGCACCTAAGAGACGAAAGGGCTTAAGGAGCAAGACTTTGGAAGTCCATCATTGTCCATGAAGAATGGGACGACTCGAGAAAAGGAGCAGCCGCTCTGCAAGCAGTCTGCGTCGATGATTCGACAGCTCAAGCCCGGCAGACTCCAGCATTACGGAGCGGAGCAGCAGGCCTCCCGATATGATTGGCAGGACACGCCGCAAAAGTTCCGTGGTCTGGGCCCGCAAACTTGCCGAGATAGCCGAGATAAGACCCGGAAAGCCCCCACAACCGGCGTTGTCCGCGCGGCACCTCAAAGATAAGCGCACTTTTGTACACCGCGAATGACTTTGCTGAAGCTGTTGGGATCTCGGTCATCGGTGGACAAAGACGGCCATGTACGGTAACCCTCCCTTTCGCCCCGTGTCAGTCGTTGGTAAATTCTCCGATTTGCATGGCTGGCTACACAATCTGCAACGCGACTGGGGATGGCAAGGGCATTCCGAGAGCTCGCGTTCATGTTGAAGGGTTGCTGATAGTGCTTCGTCGTCGAACATGTCTCGTTGTAATGTTGGATATCTGAAGTAAGTGTTCCATGAGGGATCGTGCCATTATGTTTCTTAAGATTCATAGTACTACGGCACTCCTGAGCCCCGCACAAAGGTGAGCCAACAAGACAACATTGAGAAATCAGAAACAGAAGAACTCAACTCGATGCCGCGACATCAACCGGCATCCCTAGCATGAACCACTCTAGGGTGGCGTGTAGTGCGCACGCGACAATCTGGAAGCCCGCAAATCACTTCCGCGTTAGGGCCTCCACCCGGGTAGGTGGGTAGCATCGAAGAGGAACCCACCGTGATAGGTAAAGGTGAAAAATTAAAAAAGGCGCGCCGGCAGGCCGCATTTCTAGAATAAGATGCCCCGTCTTGGCAGCCTTCCTACGCCAAGAGAGTTTGTGTCCCTTTGACTAGGTTCTACATACTTTCGTTCAACGTCCAACCCCCAATCGCGACTTACACCAAAGTCAACGCCGAGCCCGACTAAACTCGGTCCCGACGACGGCCGCTGCTGCGATGGATCGCTACGACGAGAAAGGCATGGGCGAGAAGACGTCGTCGCCCCAGGGCTCCCTGGAGGCCGGCAGCGATGACTCTCCGAGGGAGACCGGTATCCTGGCCACTCTGCGCCGCTTCGAAGGCAGAATGGATAGAGCCTTGGGCGTCGAGTCTCATGCCATCGACCGCAAGACGGAGGCCGACAAGCGCCCCGTCAAGTGGCATGAGGAGCTGACTATGGCTCTTCTGTGGGCGTCCGGTACGATGGGTATCAGCTGCTTTGCGACAGGTTTTCTTGGATGGGAGTTCGGCCTTGACCTGAAGCGGGCGATTCCCATCTTCATCTTTGGCTCCATCCTCGGCGGTGCCGTATCCGGGTACTGTGCCACGTTCGGTGCGGCGACGGGTCTTCGTCAGATTTCGGTCTCCCGGTACAGCTTTGGCTGGTGGCCGAACAAGCTTATCGCGTTCTTGAATGGTCTCGAGCAGCTGGGTTGGGCCTCTGTCGCATCCATCAGTGGCGGATTGGCGTTGACTGCAGTCGCCGATGGCCGCATCTCCCTGGTCGTCGGCGTTGTCATCATCGCCGTTGTGTCTCTCCTGGTCAGCTTCCTCGGTCTGCGCTACATCCTGATCTATGAGCGTTACGCATGGCTCATCTACCTCATCATCTTCATCATTATCTTCAGCATGGTTGGTCCCTATGCCGACGACGTCACCCCGGCCCAGGTCACAGGCGCCGACCTCTCCGCCAGCGCTCTCTCGCTTCTCGCGGTCGTCTACGGAAGCTCCGCATCGTGGGCCACTATGGTCTCAGACTACTACGTCCAATACCCGACCAACGTTTCCAGGCTCAAGGTATTCACCCTCACGACTCTCGGCATTGCTATCCCGACGTCCATCGGTATGACCGCGGGCGCCGTGGTAGCCAGCTCTCTGAACAACCAGACAGCCTGGAAAGACGCCTACGAGAACGAAGGCCTTGGCTTCCTGATCCGAGACATGCTGCACCCGCGCGGCTTCGCCAAGTTTCTCCTCGTCATCTTCTCTTTCAGCGGCATCAACACCAATATCATCTCCCTCTACTCCGCCGCCATCTCCTTCCAGCAAATGGCCCGCCCCCTCGCCAAAATCCCCCGGTTCCTCTGGACGTTTCTCTGCTTCGCCGTTGTCGTTGGACTGGCCGTCGGCGGCCGCAGCCAGTTGAACACCTACCTGCAAAACTTCCTCAGCCTACTGGGCTACTGGTGCACAAGCTACTTCGTGATCCTGCTGATGGAACACACCATCTTCCGACGTGGAGACTTTGCCAACTACGATCTCGAAGGTTGGAACGACCCGAGCCGCTTGCCTCTTGGCATCGGGGCTAGCGTTGCCTTCCTGGTCGGGGTGGTCGCGTGGTGCATGGGCATGGTTGAGACCTGGTTCGTGGGACCTCTTGGCGGGCTGATTGGCGAATCTGGGGGTGACATTGCCAACGAGCTGACGCTTGTGGTGTCTGCTTTGGCATATTTGCCGGCTCGTTACCTGGAGTTGAAGTATTTCGGCCGATAGGAGGTTACTTTCAGCAACTGAGCAACATCGGCAACACAGTCGGTTGTCGGAGGGCTCTCTTTCGCCAGCTTGGCCTTCTCGAGGACATAATTCTTCCACACCAATTTCAAGATAATTAGATCACGATCTTCAATAACACGGACTAGCATCATTCTTCAGAGTTCGTGTGCCCTGGGTCTGCCGGTGGCATGGTGTTACCCCTCTTTGTGGGGAACGTCCGCGGGGGTCAAATCTCGGGAAGAAGTCCGTGACGGATTCATGGCTGCAGGAGTGACGGCCCAACAGCTACCTTTCCCCCGGCATTTCCGGATGGGCGGTTCCAAACGATGATGAGGCAAAGTCGAGGAATTCACAGAAAAGGGGCCAGATGATAGTTGCCTATCGTATCACTTTCACTGCTCATATCATTACAATCTACCCCAGGTATCTTAGCTATCCTAGAACAAGTCCGTAACTGCACCATCGGAGGCGCTAGCAACCAGCTTCGCGTACTTGGCGAGAGTGCCTCTCGTCACAGGAGGCCTGGGCGGCTTCCACAAGCGCAGTCTATCCTTGATATCCTCGTCGCCCACGTTCATGCTAATCGTACACGTCTCGGCGTCGATGCTGATCATGTCTCCGTCCTTGATGGCAGCAATGGGTCCGCCGACCGCCGCCTCGGGGACAATGTGTCCCACGATGAATCCATGGGAAGCGCCAGAATACCTTCCATCCGTGATCAAGGCAACGTTCTTGAGGTTGGCACCAATCAAGGTCGCAGACGCCTTCAGCTGTTCCGGCATACCAGGGCCGCCCTTAGGGCCTTCGTAGCGGACAACGAGGACGATGTTCCTGTCGCGGGGGATGTTGCCGGCGTTGAGCTCCGTGACGAGCTCGGATTCCTTGTTGAAGCAGCGCGCCTCGCCCTCGAAGCGCAGACCCTCCTTGCCGGTGATCTTGGCGACTGCACCGCCGGGGGCGATGTTGCCGTGCAGCACGACGAGATGGCCAGCGGGCTTGATGGGGTTGGATAGGGGTCTGATAATGTCCTGCTGAGGGGGCAGAGATGGCCAGTCGGCGACGTTTTCCTCGAGCGTCTTGCCGGTGACTGTGAGAGTCTTCCCGTTGAGCAGGCCTCCGGCGATGAGAAGCTTGGTGACTGATGGGACGCCACCGATGTGGAAGAGGTCTTCGATGACGTACTTGCCGCTGGGCTTCAGGTTGGCGATGAAGGGGGTTTTTCGAGAGACGCGCTGGAAGTCTTCGAGGTCAAGGGGGACTTCAGCTGCTCTGGCCATGGCGAGGGTGTGAAGGACGGAGTTGGTGGATCCTCCCAAGGCCATCGTAATGACGAGTGCGTTCTCGAAGGACTCCTTGGTGAGAATATCTCTTGGTCGGATGTTGCGGCGCAAGCAGACCTCAATGGCATCGGCAACCTTTTCCGCTTCCCTCATCTTGGTTGGGGACGCCGCGGGAGTACTTGACGAGCCTGTGACGGATAGACCAAGAGTCTCGATGATGGTGGCCAGACTGTTTGCGGTGTACATGCCACCGCAAGCACCGGGACCTGGAACGGCGCCCTTCTCAATGGATGACAGAATCTCCTCGGGCGTGACATTCTTGTCATCGGACCAGGAACCCAGCGTACCGAACAGATAAGCACCCTGAGCTTCGTAGCAAGTGACAATGTCGATAGGCTTCTTCAACACCTCGCAGTAGCCTCCAGCAACAGTGCCACCGTAGACGATGACTGATGGGCGGTTGTGTCTGGCGACTGCCATGACGCAGCCTGGCATGTTCTTGTCGCATCCGGGAATGGCGACAGTGGCGTCGTGAGCTTGTGCGCAAGTGATCGTTTCGATGTTGTCCGCGATGAGCTCTCGCGACTGGAGGGAGAATCTCATGCCCTCGTTGCCCTGGGCAATACCGTCGGAGACTCCCAGCGTGCTGTACTGCCAGGCGATGTAACCCTTCTTCTTGATGGCCTCCTTGACAGTCTTTCCCAGGTCCAGGAGATGCATGTTGCATGGGTTGCCCTCCCACCATACTGAAGCAACGCCAACTTGGGGGGCCCTTTGCATCATCTCCTCGTTGGGAACACCAGCAGCGTAAAGCATAGCCTGTTGAACATGTTAGTCTATATCAAATGACTGGGCAAAAGTCCTGAAGCTCTTTACCTTAGCACCGGGGAAATCATGTTCTCGAGTGAGGAAGGCTGAATACTTGTTGAGAACCGGCTCTCCATTTTCCCAAGTGGCGTCATTCGGGGCAATGGGGAAGTCGACATATCTCGGCTCATGTTGTCCCTGTTCCTCGCCAGCGGCGGGATGGACCGCACTGAAATTTGAGACCATCCTGTGTGCTTGAAGAGGCTTGGCAAAGGTAAGAGGCGAAGGAATTAAGCCAAAGAAAAGTGCACCGAGCTCGGAGAACAATCGGGGCCGACGATGTTTTTATAAAAAACACACGCAGATTCACTGCACCGGCCCCAGACCCCATTCACCTGCTAACACAAGTCCACAGTGAACACGGGGGTGCGGGGTAGAAACCAACCGAGCTTCTCACGATACACGGCGTCTCCAATCACATAACAGTGAATACCGGTTCGTGAGGAGAAAACTGGGAATTTTTTAATGGAGCCGCGCGACGGGATGAGTGACGACTAATCGAAATAGGCCGCATACGATTTGTTGGCGCGGTGCTGGTGGAGCAAGCCCATTGCTGACGAGTCTTGTGTTGGGGGAGAACCCCGCACCAGACCCGGGGAACAGTCCGGCACGCCTTGCGGGTTCTGGATCCCGAAGAACGGACTTCTGCCGAGTATTTGGAGGCTTCACGGGGAACGTGGGGGAGTGAATAGACGTGAAGCGAACGTGGGGTAGTGAGTTGATGCGGCTGGGATCACGGGTTTTGAAATCCGATGGATTTGATTTGATGAATGCGGATGAATGCGAGCTGCCCTTTGCCCAAGAGCTAGGGTCTCATTTGATCTTGTTTTCATCATGTTCTTGCGTACGTGGATATTTTGACAACAATGCGTCTATCATACCGTCTTCTTGGTAATGGGAATGTACCTCATCCACGGATGCTCTTCTCTAAATCCCAACATGGCCTGAATCTTCCTGTTTGACATCGGCGCCTCACGCTCTCCCATCTCCCGCGTGAATGGAGTCGACGGGCTCACGCGGCTCAAGAACGCAGTCGTGTTCTCCGTATTCGTGATCTCGTCGTTGGTGGCATTGAACACCTGCCAGCCAAGTCCGTTCCTCTCAAGACCAAGATGACACATCTGCCCGAGGTCTCTCGCGTCTATGTAAGACCATCCGTGGACATCCCAGGCCTCTGGCTGGTTGATGTACCCAGAAAAGCTCTCGGCGTACTTCTCAGGCTCAATGACAGCACCAATGCGAAGACAGTAAATATCCACACCGAAGCGGCTCGCGAAGCTCCTGGCAATAGTCTCTCCCACGATCTTGGAAAGCGCGTAAGGATCCGTGGGGTTGCAGTCGGTCTCTTCGTCGATGGGGAATGAGGTGAACTGGCGCCGCTCCTCGGCAAAGGTGACACCGTAGACGCAGACGCTGCTCGCCAGGATGACCTTCTTGATGCCCAATTTACACGCTGCTTCAACGATGTTGTGGATGCTGTTGACGTTTGTCTTGAAGATTTCGTTGTCTGGAGCGAGAAGTGGGCGGGCATATCCGGCGAAGTGGATGACGGCGTCAGGGATTGAAGACTTCTCGAGGGGCTGGCTGAGGCGAATTTGAGTGTGAAGCGCGCTGTAGACCTGACCGGCGTCGCTCACGTCGCATCTCATCGTGTGGACGGCGGGGTTGTCGAGAGGGACGATGTCGAGGTTGATGACCTCGTGACCGTAGCGGAGGAGTTCCTGAATCACCTAGCGGCCCGCGACGCCGGAGCCACCGGTGAAGACGACGCGTTTGCCCATGGTGGTGTTGATGCTTGAACACAACGAGATAGCTCTTTGTTGGCTACTAGTTATCAGCCTTCAAAGCGCCGAGGGTAAACAAACGTGTCTGAGGCTCCCTTGCATTCTTCGTGGGCCTTACGCGAGAATATCACTTCTTTTGAGAGGAGACTGTTGCTCTGTGAGACCCGAAGTTGCACCGAGTCAAGCGGTCCCTGCCAGATGATCCCCTCCCCCACTCTGTAGGGCTTTCCCCGCACGGCATTGAAGGGGCCAGGGGTCGTATTGAGTACGGTCGTCGCTCAAGAGATGCCCTAGCCAATCTGGTCTTAACATCTTGGACTGCGTCTTTGGTGGGTGGTGTGAAATGAACATGACCAACATTCTGATTCATAAAGCCGATGTTCTTGTGTATTCAAGGCATCAGGCTTGTGCTTTGGCTTACATACAGCGCTCTTGAACATGACGATGAGTGGGTCTCCAAAGCATTGATCAAAGATTCGCAAAGCCGCGAGTCTTGTTCCGGGTTATTCTCAAAATACATGCTTTAATTGCCCAAACTGTACGATGTTTCCAGTCACGCCTGACCAACGACCTCAGGCGCATTGATAGTAGTAAGGCACCGACACTCCCTGGCAGGTTGATCCAGACTAACAAGCAGGTATCAGCATCTTTCTCATCAAAACTGGGAGGGATCAAACTTACCGCACAAGTAGTACACCCTGTCCAACCTTGTCCACCGCATTGCCCATATTTGGCAACCGTACACGACGGCGGACTCCCAGTGCCAGGAGAAGTCCCGCCGCTACCCCCGCCGGTAACCGGAATCGCCGTCCCAACTGGGCCCTTGCTAGCATCGCAAGTTGAAGCACAACCACTACCGCACCCGGAGCCCGCCGCCTTCGTCGTTCCTATTGAAGCCACCGAACCTCCCGGAACGACGTACCCAGACAGCTTGCTGTGGATATTCACCAAAATCCCGGGATCACTCGCCTTGTACGCTCCAGGAAAGCTGACAGTCGACGGCTTGGCCGTGCCAGTACCTCCTGAGATCGAGATCTGATAGCACGTCATGTAGAACTGCGCCCCGCCA